CATTTACACAAGAAACTACACAAACATACCTAAGCTGCCAGCAAATGTCTCTCTCATTTACTCCCAAATTGTCGAAAGGAGATACTTCTGAGATATAAGATAATCCAGTTGCATAAAGAAGGAGAAAGTCAAAGGAAAATAAATGAAAAACAGGAGTGTCTAAAAATGGAGCTCAAATTATTATTAAAAGATACAGAGAAGATGGGGCTCCTAACAATCATCCAAGAGCTGGCAGACCACTAAAACTGTATACTTCAGATAAACAGTACTTAAAACTTTCATCTTTGAGACAGAGGAGAAAATCCAGCTCCACTCTTATTTCAGATCTAACACAGCTGTTTCTGTCCATCCTCCCACTGTGAAAAGACAACTCAATGCTGAGTCTGAAAGGATGTGTAGCTGTTAAGAACTCATTACTGAGAAAAGGAAACAGACAACAAAGAAGAAAATCTGCAGTAGAACACTGAAACTGGACATGTGGAGTGAGGTTTTATGGACTGAGGAATGTAATTGGGATTGCTGGGATATTTATATAAACAGTATACTATAGATAATTATATAATACATTATACACATTGATAAATTTCAAATGTGATGATGCACACATATACACACATTTTTTCTTCCATATATTTGTAGCCCCTCAAACTTATACCATCCACCCCCTAATCCAGGGGTGCCCATCTCCAGCATAGTTTTGTAATTTCCCTGATTTAACTTTTAACCACTGGTAATTAAGTGATGAGTTGAAGTACTTTTGAGCTGGGAAATCAGCAAATTATGCTGGACTTCAGCCATCGTGGAGTTGTGCATCCCTGCCCTAACCTCTTCCCCCCACCCTTACATCGGACAGTTTATAGCAGCTCCCTTACAAGGACACCTCTTCTGGAATAGCAACTGCCATTTGATCGTACGCATGGCCACACTGACCCACCCACAGGAGGCTGAGAGAGGGCACACTCATACCTAATAAACTCACCTGGCCTTGTCAAATAAAACTTCTCTTGTTATAAATTACATCTGACTTTTATTAGCAAAATTAATCTAGATTGAGGCTACTGTCTAGATCAAAGCCATTATCTTGATCTAAAGCAATTTTCAGAAAAATGTACTTAACTACAATTAAAACAAATCAATGGATGTTTACTGCCATGAATTACTTCCAGATCATCAGAACAACTACTGGCCTTCATCAATCAGTGAGCTGGGCAATATTTTGCATGTAGTTGATGCTCAGTCTTTTACACAAACCACATTCCCAAAGAGCATCAGTAATAATTCACATAACTGCCCTGATTAAAAGGATTACACAAGCAATTAAGAGAGTAATCACTTCATGCTGGAAATACCAACCCTCACTAAGAACCTTAAACACGTACTGACTGCTCTCCAGCAGTCCAGTCTCAATGATATAACCTTCATAAAATGTGGTTATTGCAGTATTACAAGCAATTTGGTCTGACAAGCATGTTCAAATTACGAAATAGGCAGCTTAGTAGTGAAGTTAGGAATGGCACAAGACCCATGCAAAAAATAACAAGTATGCTGGTTCTCCAGGCTGTTCACTGAGGTCACATAGTAAGCTACAAGAGCTTACTGGGCCATTAAATACAAGCCCATGAGGAAATAGAGCAGGAAAAATGTCATACTAGCAATACTCGTAGCTCCCAAAGCATTTTCAGACAGAATCAAGACAAGCCTATACAAATCAATAGTTTGAAGTGCTGAATACAAATCTCTATGTAAACAAAATGACTGGTGATGCAAAAGGCTTGCTTATATATGTGTAATTTTATATATATATATATATATATATATATATATATATATATATATATATATATATATATATATATAGTGTGTGTGTGGTGTGTGTGTGTAATATAAATATATATAATGCATATATAAATAAATTAGACTATATTACATTAATTTGACTAGATTACATAAGACTGTAGCTCTGCAGACTCAATACACCACAAAAAATCTTTAGTTTCTAGTTGGTCACATGCAAAGAAATATAGAACAACTAATGATACATTTATATATGAGCTAATGAGCTCTATATAAAAGCTATTCTGAGTGATTTACACAGGAAAATTACTGGGTTGTCAAGACACGGATTCTTATTCTGTTAACTTAATGTTATACGTTCAATAACCTCAAACTTTTAAGGAAGCCCAGTAACTAACTTTAGATTTATATAGCATTTTCTACAGTGCAAAAGACCAAACCAAGTTTATGATTGATGATAAGAATTTGCACTGATAAAAGATTTAAAGCTTCAAAAGTGAAAGTGGGTAACTTCTGTGATTGCATCATGCAATAATGTTGCACCATGTACTGTCAATCATTCAGTGATGGTTAACAGATTATGATGAATAAGCCACAGGGTCAGAGACTAATGGGCTGAGAGAACAGGCTGATGTGGATGGGAAAAGCAGGTTCAGTATTTTTAGTAAAGGAAGCTATTTGAGGCGCTCTCCAGGTTACTGCTTAACTGCTTCCTTTACACCCCCCACCCCCCTTTACAAGGCTATCACCTGTTGCAGTCACTTCGGGGTACTTAGGGCCTGCTGCCACGCACTGCAGGTGTGCTTTCTACACGACACATAGCAGCTGCAGGAAGGCCTGGTGTGCAAATCTGTTCATCAGTGGTATTTAAATTTGAGACAGCAGATTCTGCAAGTCTCCTCCTCCAATCAGTTCCGAGAACCAAATCACAAGACTGCATCTTGCCGAAGGAGCTGCAGGGCCTGTTCATTTACTCCAAAGAGAATCCATGTGATAAGTACTTACCCAAACCAGATAGGAACAGTCTTTAACAGTTACTGATATCAAGCACATCTTCTACAGATCCATGCTGTGTCATGGAAGCACAGCACCAAGTTGAAATTTATTTTGTTGCAGTAAAATTATCATGGGCTGAATGAATGAATGTTCAGCTTAAGGAAACAAGGTCAGTGTTCAAGACTCCAAGCCTACAATAAAAGGCCTTCCAATGGCGAATCATCATAGGCATTACTATTTAGGACCAGTTTAAGCCTGAACCTAAACTAATTTTAAAGGGGATTCACCATTGGCACTGTAGTTTAGTCCAAGACTAAGCAAAATCCATGCTCAGGAAATCATCCGTTAGATTTGTAGACTTAATCCAGGTGAAGGAAGTAGGCTAACAGGGCCAGTTCACCACCCTAGAGTAAGCTTAGTCTTGGATTAAACTGCATTATCAGTGGTAAGTCATTACTGAACTTCATTTAGTGTATGCTTTGGCTTGACATGGGACTGGAAAACTGGCCCATAGTGTCTCCATGCTCTAAAAGACCTACACTACCTTACGCTGTTGCTTCTCCCAGGCAGGGTCCAGCAGCAGGTCCCTGTCCCAGTCCTCCTCCTGGACCATGTACTCCTCAGCCGAGGTCATCATATATGAGCTTTGATACTGCACTTGCGTTTCAACCGCTGTCATTTTGCCGTCTTCCCAGGAATGAAGAGTATTATCCCTTCAGTGTTTAAAAACTGCTCTGCCCCACTCAGTTCAACATGCAAGGTGTCTTCGACCACACAGCGCGTCCCGTGCCGCTTTCCGGAAAGACAGAAGCCCCCAGGTCCAGCCTTCCGCCTCTAATGTAGCCGCTCCCACCGCCCGCTGAAGTAGCAGCCGCTGCTCGTGCCCCTCACCGCACGCTTATACGGCTCAGCGCCCAAATAAGCAGGAGCGCGCGGCATGTGGGCGCAGGTTAAAGACTTAGAAGGCAATAAAGGCGGGATTTGAGCAGGTCAGCGCGCGTCACTGTGTCCCGACATATTACTCAGTTTTTGAGCATAATCTCACTCTGTACTTGATTTACGTTTCCCCACAAAACTCGCGACTCCCTTTCCCCGCTGAGTCATTCCATGAGATGGGTGCCAAACGGAGACGCTAATCCGAGTTTGTTTTCAAAGTTTCTGTAGGCTACTTTTTGTGCCGTGTAACACAGTTACGACCAGAACCCATCATAGTGAAACAGTAGCGAGGAAAATGAGCTAAACAAAAGCAAACCTGCAGGCTTTAGAACTTGGCTCTAAATGCCAAGTCAGGTCAGTCATGTCAAAGCTGTCACTAAATCAGCATTTTATCACCTTAAGAATATCAACAAGACTGAGATTTTCTGACTAAACCAGATCTGGAGAAACTCATTCACGCTTTTATTTCCAGCAGGATTGATTACTGTAATGGTCTCCAAAGAAATAAACAGCTTCAACTGATTCAAAACACAGCTGCCAGAATCTCACTAGGAGTAAAAGGAAGAAAAAACATCACCCCCATCCTTACACTGGCTACCAGTACATTACAAAACCGACTTTAAGGTACTAATACTGGTCTATAAATCACTTAATGGCGTAGGAGCAGCTTATTTATCTGATATACTAGCCAGTTAGTCCTTCCTAGACTAGACATGGAGAAGCAGCGTTTAGCTACTGGAAACCCATTTCATGAAGCTCCTAACATGCAGTTATTTTGCTGATGTTGCTTCCAATGGTAATTTGGAACTCTTTAGTGAGTGATTTAACAGAGAACAGGCACTGTGTGCTTCAGCACTCAGCGGCCCCACGGTGTGAGTTTGTGAGGTCTCCCGCTGCTGCTGCTTCCATTTCACAATAATAGCACTTACAGTTGACAGGGGCAGATCTAGCAGGACAGAAATTTCACAAACTGATTTGTGACAGAGGCAGCGTCCTATGAGATGCCATGTTTAAAGTCACTGCACTCATCAGTATGACCCATTCTACTGCTAGTGTTTGTCTATCAAGATTGCAAGGCTATGTGCTTCATTTTATCCACTTGAACTCAATAGTTAGGATAAGTGTCCCAATACTTTTGCATGTGTGTGTGTGTGTGTGTGTGTATGTATATAAAAATCTAAATAAATAGTAAACCTGATCCCACACAGATTTAATTTATATATTTCATCAGTGCCAAAACTAGCTCCCTTTTAAAAAGCACTAATGCACCACTGTTGAATTCAGGAAAGTATTTATTTGTTTTTACAAGATCAGAGTAGGCCTACAAAGATAATGGCCAAAAGGAAGAAAAAAAACAAAAAAAACAAGGATGTAACATTCTTTTCTAGGACAGTAGCAAAAGCAGTAAGCAAAGCCTGATGAAAGCAATAATGTTTAATTCAACTAATGCAAGTTCCCTGAATGATTATTTCCTGATCTAAAGTAATCATAAGCAACATTCTACATATATTGCTCAACCCAAACCCAGAGATGAAGCACTTTCATTCAATGATCAGTAAACAAGGAAGTTCAATTGCCCAAAAAGAAAAGGAAAAAAAAAAAGAAAAACAAAAAGCAAAACCTGAAGGTTTGAAGTGAAGATTATGATGTCCAGAGAAACTCTTACTTTTTCTTTTTATTTTGTGAAATGATGTGGACAGTTTAGTGATAAGGGTTTTGAAACTGGCCAAACAACTCTCCAGCTCCAGTCTTAACAGTTATAGACGTCTGAAAGCATTTTTACATGTGAAGTTGAGAATCTCAATTCTTATACCCCATCCAGGTTCTGAATGCTTTCTGTGGAGTTTTAGGTGAACCACCTTTCTCTGAAGAAAGGGCAACATGATCTACAAGATCTTAAAGGTGAGAGAGGTATTGTGTTGGGGTCTGAAGGAAGGAGTAGGTTTGAGTGGGACAGTGGCGCACTGGGTTACTCACCTACCAGGCGACAGCCCTACCTCTTGCTTTTCGGATAGCACTGCACACTCTTTACAGCTGTGCTGTCTTCTTAACCGTTCAAATGCACAGCCGGGGCACCTCAGTTTTGAGTGCACGTCTCGTCTCGTCTTACTGGAAATGCTTCAAAAAAACCAAATGCCACAGAACAAGCCAAGGCAAGGTTCCCACCAATTTCACAAGACCAATTTTTATGATTAAATAATTTAAAGTCTTATTTTGAGGCTTCAAAAATGAAAAAAAAAAATGGTATGGTTACTGCCATTACTGATCTATTGGGTGAGCTGTGGGGGCTTCTGTTCTTTTTAGCAATATGATAAAACAAAGAAAAAGTCATTTAAACTAATAGACAACCAAACCAAGATCATGTGGGGTACTTGTATGTCTGAGCTGAAGGACTTGCTTCCTCTGCTTGTGCAAGCCATCACTTTTAAGTTACTCTGAGCAGTGGCACTGCTACAGCTACAACTGTGTTGGCTTAATGTCTTTCAGCCTCAGAAAGTAGATCTGGACTGAGGATCTCCAACAGTTGTAGTAGGATGACTGAGGGGAAGTGTATGGTCGAGGTGCAGGCGTGATGGGGGGCAGAGGGCTTTACCTTTGTGGGGAGTGCGTCCATGCCACTGTGGGACTCTAATTCTCTTCCCCCCGTCATGTGCAACCTGGCGTCCTGAGGCCCGGGTGCCATTTTAGCTGTAGTTAGCGAAAAGGGAAAATGTGGCTGGAAGAGCAGTAAAAGTAACAAGTCATGCACTATTTGCAATAACACATTACAGACATGTTGCGATAAGGTGTGGAGTCACATGTGTGGAGCCCTGGTGCACTGTAAGGAGCTACACCCCGCCACCCTCCCATCTCCACTCTACCAAGTGTTCTTAAAGAAAACTGAACACTACAACAACATATCTGCCTGTTACTTCAGCAGGTTTTATGGCGTGGATACACAACACTTGTATTAGGTGTTTTTAAAAACCGTATCGAATATTTACAACAAAGGCCAATTCAAGTCATTTTTTACGATACATGGTGATGAGCGATCAATTCCAAAGACTGGATTGCCATGGTAGGTTCAAGTTCAGTTCTGATAGAGCCCTTTAATAAAATGCCAGCTCCTAAACCATGTGAGCTCTTGCCCCTTGCAGGTCATTTCCATTTCAAGAATTCTCTTTAAATTACCCCACCTAGCTGCAGCTTTGTGTATCCAGGCCTTTAGGGGTCACTGATACTTATTCTGTTTGTGTGTACACATGTATGTGTGTGTTGTGCATGTACCCCACCATCTCTGTGTTGGAATGAAAGACTGAAGACTGCCTGAGGTGAATTCTAAAGGAAAGAGGACATAACATCATTTTTAAAAACGTTTTCTCTGCCATGCTTTCATTACAGTCTTTTACTGGTGTCCAGTCAAAGACACCGAAAGAATGCTATATAACAAGATCTGTGGTCAAAACCATACAATACTGACCAATGGACTCTTTTTTGGAAGGAATTCACTTATTTGAGAATAATCAGATTTAGCGGCAGACATAAGCTTGTCTTGGATGTTTTACATATTAGATGTTATGAAAATCTCATGTAGGCTCCTTACACTAGTTGTCAAGTGAAATGGGCAGATTTTAATTAAATAAAAGAACTGCATGAGTTTACAAGGCATTGGGTTTATAATTTTAGATCAAATCAAAATTAAAATGACCTAAAACCTTTGTCAAATGGAACATCCCATTGCTTTTCTTTTTTTATTTTTAGAACAACAAAAAACATGAGATATTTGTACTTTACTGTCTTTTATTCTCAAATTCCAATCATCTGGAGACCTAATGCAATTGACCTTGCAACTCCAGAATCAAATCAACTAAAGCCAAATCACTCTTGTATACTAACATTTATTGTGATGTAAATGTGGGAAGTGAAAAGATAAGAGGAAAACAAGATGTGTTTGCACGGGCCTACACTCCAAGGGGGGATGCTTTGCTGTCTAGGACAAATAAAGAAAATGGTAATTTGAGAGATTAAATATCTGTCTGTACACCCACAGCATTTTGTCCATGTGAGAGAAGAGCACACGTCTAGAAATGGCAATCAATTCCTCTAAAATCCTGCAAAGCATGCATAGTTGCTGTCTGCAGGCACCCAACAGTTTTGCTAATTCATAACAAATGGCATCCCCAACCCAGAGTCAATAAAGATATGGAAACAACAGAAAAACACGAGTATGAAGTATGAGCATAGCTATCTATTAAAGGTGAAAAGTCTGTAGATTTTATTGATGAATGCTAGATAGACTAACATTCACTTGCCATCCATTTTATGGCCTAGCCTCACTCCAATGGGTGACATTAAAATGTGAGCTCAGGTTCATGTGCAGACCAGAAGTCATCTGCCCCGGCAAGGCTGTACCTAAAGGGCTGAAAACGACTTGGGTTCCTTAAAACAACTGTGTTATTTTGCTGATACTGACGGCAGCATGTCTCTGCCCAAAGCCAAATCCCACCCGTTTAGAACTGAAGGTAACAAATCTGACGTGTGTTAGCATGTGTGGCTCTGTTGCAAGTCAGTGTTCTTGATTAACGTTCTTGCATGTCGACAGACAAACACACCTACACATTCACCAAAACACACACATTCACCCATCATTCACACAGGTCCTGTAATTTCAAATCGCAAATTTCCCGTCTTTCTGCTACAATCCTTAACGCTGCTGTTTAAAGAGTGTAAAATTACACACATCAACTACAGCAGACAGATCTTGATCTACAGAGCCAAAGCCTTCCTGCTGCTGTTATGCTCAAGCTTATATACATCAAAGAAAAAACATTTTAAAAAAATCTAGAGCCCCTAGTCTTTTTAAAATCATAACTAATTTGAAAGTTTGGAAACTATTATAAATTTGTGGAAAACTTGTTTACAAAAACAATTGCACAAGGCACATTCTTCTGACAGGGGCTGATGCCAGATTTCCAAAGACAGACAAAAGTGTGCGAGACATAAAATTATTTTAAACTCACATTTGCCTTTTGAACCACCTGTCAATTCTGATGATACTAGAAGTCAAACCAAGACAGGTGGTAAAAATACCAACCTTGTACACCTTTGAAAGCTATGGGTCATCTGACACTAATTTGGGGGAAAAAAAATCAAATGAAACCTTTGCAACAAGAACAAAGTCTGGTGCATCAATTTGATATAAATATTTATCGTATCCCTTTCCACAAATTCTTCAGCATTGTTATTATGCAGGACCAACACCGTCACACACATTCAACACACCCTGTCACACACTCAACAAACACATTCATCCACGTGTGCGTGTGAGGTTGTGGGGGCTATCGGTAAGGGGGCTCTGGCGTGTGGAGGTGGGAGTAGTCAGGATGGCGGAGGAGGGGCTCCTTGTGTGTTGGTGGCGGCTCATACGCTCTTGGAGATTCGGTGGTTCCAGGGGCAGCCAAGTGATGGCCATCCATTGGTCCTGAAGGTGGCATGGGCATGACAGGCATCGGGGGAGGTGGAGGCGGCGGTGGTGGCGGATAGTAGTAGTTGTACTGTTGATAGTGCTGATACTGCTGGTACTGTTGGTACTGCTGGTACTGCTGGTAGTACTCCGCATAGCACCTAGTAGGAAAAGACAAATGACAAAGCAAATGATGTTTAGATGAGTCAGTTTAAGACTCACTTTGCCCGTCCTGAAAAAAAATTTATATCAGCTTGAAAATCCCACACCATAAACTTCACTGGAACAATTGGTCAGGGTTTTTATTATTGAAGAACATTAGCAAGAGTGTCAAATGTGTGTGCAGCAGAACTGCAAAGTAGAAACAGTAGATTTAAGAAAAGGCAGAGCACTTAAGCTTCAAAATGGTTGCTGTAGCATTGTATAATCATGAAGGTTGCATGTACAATAAAAACAGAGAACAAAATTCAATTCAGTCAGTTAATAGTGTGAGCTGTTTTCGGCTGCTAAAAACCCTCAAAATCTGCTCTCAGATATTTGGCACTGCATCTCAGCCTATGCTTTACACTTAAAAACAAAACTCTAATGTAATACACACTCTTACCTTGAGATAGGGTCTCCATCTTTAGCTGAAGGCAGTTCTGGTCCACCAGGAGGGGTGGGAAGCAGGGCACGGCGTTTGGGTCTTGCCTGGGAGAGGGGCTGAGGAACCGGGTCTGGCAAAAGTGGAGCTGAACGTCTCACTGGGCTACGATCCCGTTCTGATTTGGTAATGGCCTGCTGCTCAGCCAGCACCTGCTGGCCCTGCTCAATGAAACGCGCCCGAGCTGCTTCAAAGATGGCCTGGGGGTCAGACTCTCCCCCTCCCATGGTCCCATAGGCTGGGCTAGAATAGAGAGAGGAGTTCGCACCATAAGCAGGGTTCACTGCAGCAGCACCTGAAGGGGCTTCTCCTGCAGCAGGGTCTGCACCCTGGCTGCTTGATGAACTTAAGACCTGGTCAACAACAGTGCCGTACACTTGACTTGCCAAGGCACCATAGACCGCAGCACTAACTGGTTTGCCATCTGATCCGCTGCCTTCAGTCAGGCCCTTTAGGGCTGCGTATGTCGGGTCAGAGCTTGTGGTGTTGAAGAAAGAGTTGTGCACACTCTGCTGTACTTGTATGGGAAGTCCAGCAGCTGCTGCAGCTGCAGCGGCCAGTACTGCCGCCTGACTCTGATGGTGCTCCATGGGCGGCCTGGTGGGGCACTCTCCCGCAAAATGGCCCTGTATCCCACAACGTGCACATGGGACCTTGGAAGCAGCTGCTGGCTTTGTCTGCTGAACTTTTGAGAGCTCCACAGAGAGCGGGCGGCCCTTGAATGAGGTCCCATGAAGGGCCTCAATGGCTTTCTCTGCATCTTCTTTGCGTTCCATGTGCACAAAAGCGTAGCCTGCTGAGGAGGAGAGCTTGGCTGCAACGGAGAACAAAGAAACAAATCACAATATTAGAAGAATAAATTGTAATATATAAAATGTAGTCTGAACATGAGTGCAACGTCACAAACGGATTTTAATACTGCATTTTAGAAGCAGAACAAAAGAGAATCGGGGTATAGGATCTTTGACCTGCAAACGATTTGTTTACTATTGTTTAGGAAATGATTCAATACAAAAACGTGTCTACACAATACTTTATTAAATATTATAATCGATTCTAACATTCCAAAGTCTACGCAGTTCAGTCGCCACCTTCGGATCAATGCATCACGATGCATCAATGCATTTTTCACACTACTATAAGAGAAGCAAAATATTTAGACAGCGTACTTTTTACTTTGTCACACTCCAAGACGTTTCCAAAACGAGAGAACAGTTCATGCAGGTCGTCAGCAGTGCACAAAGCACTCAGGTTCCCCACAAATACTTTGATAGAGTTGAGGGGCCTCCCTCGGGACTCTTCAACTACGAGGTTGCGACCATGAAACTCTCGACCATTCAGATCATGGATGGCACGGTCAGCAGCCCCTTCTCCCTGCAGATGGACAAAGGCAAACTGCCTCAGTAAAGTAATCGTCTCCACCTCTCCGTAAGGGGCAAAAAGCGCTATAAGGTCATCTTGTGTTGTTTCCAACGCCAGATTCCCAACAAAGAGCTTCACCGCGTTGCTGTTGTCCATTGCACCCGACAAAAACCTAGAAATAGGGAACATGGCTCATTTCTCCTTCTTTGCACGACACAACCTTAAGCTAATAGAACAAGGCATAATAGAAATAGAATAATGGGCCTGGCACTTCCGTTGAGCGAGCCTAAAGCAGCTGTAGTAACGGAGAAAGCCTTAGTTGAGGAGAGCATTTTTCATGTCGTTGCAGACGTACAATCTACAAGAGGGACAGATGATTGTTAATATCTTCAGTTGTGAGTTACAAAGAAGGGGAAATGTTGGTGTAACGTAGAACAGTTAGCCAGATAGCTAGTAAAAGAAACTGGGATGTTTTATACGAGGCAGTAGTTAGGTTGAACAAGTATGGCTACACAGCTGAACTGCTGGCGTTAAGCTAACTACGAAGCTTCGAAAGAATAGTTAGCTAGCCAGCTAACCAGCTAACCTAGCTCAATCTTTAGCTAAATGCTAATTTACGGAGCAGCGCCGCGACACCCTCAAGTTAAAGCATCCGTGACTGCTGAATTTGTTATCTCACTTAAAAACCAATCCTCGCCGATAACCTTCGGACTGAAATATATCTACATTATTTACAGCGTCGAGCCGTAAATGTGAGTTAAACATGCTAACAGTTAGCTGAAGGCGCGAACGACAAGAGCAGCACCGCGCAACGCTAACAACGTGTAGTCTTTCAAACAACAACAAACGTGATATAACGAATTATCCACTCGCTGAGAACCACACTCACGGTATTAAGACTATTTAAAGAAACCCCCGAAAGCAAAAGTTGGGCAGAAATCAGTTCACAGCGCCAGATTTGATCAAAAATAGGACAGAAGGACGCTAGTTATCCAGTTATCTTACCTAACGCGGGGCAGACTTCTTCATGGCCGATTTCCGGTTGACAGATGTTGCTCCTCGCTCGTGTCCGTGTTGGTCCGAGCAGCGTTCTGAAAGAAATGTCCGACCTGTGAACTCCTCAGCAGAGCTGGGTGATACCACTCATTTTCTGTTTGAGCTAGGATTACCACCCGTCCTGGATTTCCCTGGAATGGCCAAGTTTTTGGCTGCCTGTCCAAGAAAAAAAAACATTCCTGGAAACAGTACATTTTCATATGTTTCATAAATTCTTATGAAGTTGAAATTGTTTCTTTTTATCCAGTCAACCAACCGGTAACAAAGAATGGGTTTTATAGGTTCAGATTATCCTCAGTGTAGGGAGAGGATAAGGTGCACTGCAGGGACGTGTTTAGACACCAGGCAGCACTGCAACACGAACTGACTCGATAAGGTTCTGCAGCTGAACTGACTGACCACATCATGAGCACAGCTACCCCTCCGCTGAATTTAGTAAAAAATTAAATTACCAGGAATTTTACAGGGCACAAATGGTAGTTCGAGACGAAACCAAGTCGTACCAATACCAGAACAGACACTGTTCCTTTTAAAGGTCTTATTGTGCGTGTTTACCACAGCATATTTACCACATAACCGATGCCTCTCAAACGGCATGCTACTGTACTAAATAGCAGTCATTAGGGTATAGTACAGTAGTAGTATCCCAGCAAACACACAACACTGTCACAACGACCACTTTGTAGTTCTACAATTACAGACTGTAGTTTATCTGTTTCTCTGCATAATGTATTAGCCCCCTTTAACCCTTTTCTTCAGTGGTCAGGACCCCCATGGGACCACCACAGAGCAGGTATTATTTAGGTGATGGGTCAATCTCAGCACTGCAGTGACACTGACGTGGTGGTGTGCTGGTATGAGTGGATCAGACACAGCAGTGTTTGCTTTTTTTGAGATATCAGTTAATCAGCCTCTCTCTGTGCTATCAGGCTATGGAACATTTTATTTATTTATTTATTTTCGAAAATAATAAATATTTTTATGAGTTTCAGAATCGTCCTCATCTGCACACAAACTGCTTTGGAAAGTGACTCAAAGAAGTGAACACTGGTATACGTTTAAATGGTTTCGCTCGAATACCAAGCACTTACATTGACTATGAAGGAACAGGGCTAGGGTAAATGTGAATAATGTGAAAAATGTGAACAGTGTTTTATTTGATAAAAATATCTACTAGAACTTATTCTCAATGTACATCTTTAGCATGTAACACACCCAAATGAAGGAACAGATTTGAACCTGGTAGTGCGGCAGCAGCGTAAAACCCTGCAGCAGCCTGAAACCCTGCAGCAGCACTGCCAGGATACTGTAAATTTGTAACTGCTGTTTATGTGTTTGTCCACCAGGTGTCACTAATGTGCAACAGTTTTAAAAACTTTGAGTAATAAATCCTTTTCCGATACAGCATGAAGAGAGCATCGTTTTGCCTTCACTACAGTTTAGCCTTCACCCTCACAGCTTAGTACTATCAGGATGTGTAAATTGGGAACGCCCAAACCGGAGGAAATACTGTAAAAAAAAAGAAAGAAAAAAAGGAAGCAGTCTTAAATATGAGAATGGGCGTGGCTAAAACTGCTGTAGACTGAAAGAGTGGATGTAAATGACTTTTTTATGACATGAAAATATGAATAAAGTACACACTTAAAGAAAATGGTTCTTCAAGGGTTCTTTAGGAAAGAAAATGGTCCCATATAAAATATGAACACTCAAAGAACCCTTTGTGATTAAAGGGTTTTTTGGGGTTTTCCGATTGATAGAGAATGTGTTTTATATGGTTTATATAGAATCTTTTTCAACAGGGTTCTATATAGAAGGCTTTTCAATAAGGTTCTGTAAAGAACCATATTAAACACATATAGAGCCATGAACACTTAAAAGAACCCTTTGCATGATTACATAATTAAAGGGTTCTTTGCATCATTAAAAGTTTCTTCAGATTGATGGAGAGTGTGTGTAATATGGTTCTATGCAGAACCTTTTTGAAAAGTGTTAGAAAAGATATAGAACCATCTACAGCACATTGTCCATCAATTTGAAGAACTCTTTAACGATGCAAAGAACCCTTAAATCATGTAACCAGGGTTCTTTAAGTGTTCATGGTTCTATATGTAACCATTTTCTTTATTAAAGAACCTTTGAAGAACCATCATTTTTAAGAGTGTAGTTAATGAGTTGTTGTTGCAGCTCTATGTCTATAGCTATACGGACTGAGGAGTGAATGCTGTTTAAAATGGCCCAGCACTTTAAGTGTTACATCAAACTCTTTTATTTAAAGAAAGTTTTTCATCAGGCCAAACAGGCCCTAAAATCCTAGGCTGTAAGTCTGAGTTTACTCCTCTGAGTGTGAGTTTAGTTTCCTCCTATAATTCTGTAAGAGCGAGTTTAATTCGACTCCTATACGGCTGATTATAGTCCTATAAACGGTCTCCTACAGAGGTGAACCGTCCAGGTTGAGGCGGCGCATGCGCAGATGCGTTAGAAAGGCAAACTTTTGGGTTGTCACTGAGAAGAACAGAAGTGTGGAAAAGACGCGCAGGAAGACGGAGTGTGAATAATGTCTGAATCACAGTTTCTTCAACACACTCCGGGAGAGGGCTGGACGGCGTCTTCTCAGACACGTGGAAGAGGAAATAACCTGTAGATTTCCCCTGTGAACAAAAACACCCGCGTTTAGGGCTTTTTTCAACATTCAGCTGTCCGAGACGCTTCATGGAGCTGACAGCTCAGTCTCACGGAGCGGTTTGAGGGCAGCTGTGACTGAGAGAACTCGAGGGGACGGAGCGGAAAGGTAAGTAAGACTCTCTGGAGTAAATTAAGCTCCGTCTGTGTGTCGGTAGCACTGTAGTAAGTTGGCTCAGAGTGTTGAGGCTGCCTTGCTGCACAGCGCTGCTTTTTCATAGCGTCTTCTGAGGCACGCTGGTCAAACATTTGCTCAGGGAAGGACGGAGAGCTGAGATCGAGGAAGTCTGCGCCTGTGTGTGAACGGTGGAGCGACTGCTGTGTTAATCTCACTATGGATCCCCTGAAATGGATCCCAAGGGCTTATTTCGTTCTAGTTCTGGAGGCGATGCATTAACCTCACAAAAATCCCGCAGAGTGCCGGTCAGCAGAGATTTAACTGTGGTTCTACAAGGGTTCTTTAGTAAAGGCAAAAGTTCTGTTGAGAACCATGAGTTGCACATGCTTCTTTGCATGGTGAGATGGTTCTTCAGATCAGTGGAGAATGTGTTGTTTATGGTTCTACCTTTTTGAAAGTTGTTCTGTATAGCACCTAAAAGGGTTCTGCTGTTGTTATGATGCCAAGCTTGTAACAACAGCTAAACCCTTTTTGGTGTTATATAGGACTATTTGCATGTACAACACATTCTCCATTAATCTGAATCAAGAACCATTTCACCACGCAAAGAACCATTTAAGCATGACATGGTTTAAAAAAACCCTTGTACAACCATCTTTTTAAGTGTGTACAACTAGTACCCTTACAAAAAGATCTAAAGCAACACCACAAAAAAAGTACAGTTTTCTATCATTTCTATAGTGCTGTATATTACTATAATAATCTATAACATTTTTATCCCTGTGTAATATACCTGTAATACCATCCTACAGTAACGTATAACACTTGTGTAGTGTCCTGTAGTAAACTATGGTCATTTCTGAATATACTAAAAGATTCAAACAGTAAATTTCAGTACTATTACTATAGGTTTTTTTATACATATACTACTACTATTATTAAAAATAATAAAAACAGGAAGAAGCAGGAGAACAAGAATATTATTAACAACAACAACAATAACCATCTTCTTCACGATTATCATAATTGGTAGGCCTATCTTAAAAATGGTTTCCTTCATTTCATGGCTAGTTGTTTTATTCAGGACTAAATCTATGCATCTGTGGTGGGAGACGTGTTTCACTGGACACTTGTTAAAAACTCAGAGAACAGCATACAAACAATAACACCCCTTACAGAAAAGTCACATGTATTTCACATGTGAAGTGTGTAAAAACCATGCGTCTTCAAGTGATATAGTGTTTTCTCCACACTGTAGTGTAGTCCTCCATACTATAAAGCTCCTGAGATCAGCTCAACACAATCAGAACCAAGTACCAGGCCTTGAATGTGTGAACAGTGCTGCATTTGTCCTAGATTTCTATAACGTTCCGTGCAAAGTAGCACTTACAGACTCATGGTAGTCACGCAAAAATAATACAGACACCTCCACAGTACATACTTACAGGCTTCCACCTCACCATGCCTGGACTTGCCAGGCTCATAAGTACACACCTCATAAGCAGAGCTGTGGTCTACCCCTCCAGCCTAAACAGTAACTCTGTAATTTACTGCATCATATTATTTCTCTGAAGCTTTTGCCTTTAACTCTAGAGACACCGTCAATCATGTCTTTTGAACCATTTCCATCTCAAATATGGACTGTATATGCAGAAGCTGGGGTAGGAATATACTTTAACATGCATTGAACATGTTGTAAAACACAATTTCATGCAGATAAGCCTAACATTTTGAAAAGAGATGAGAGATGATTTTTTTTTTCCATGAGCTCTCAAAACTACTTGTTTCTGGATGAATTTGAAGTGTGTTTGAAAGTTTCAGTTTTGTGAAATCCTAAAAAAGCATAGGGGTGCGCGTGTGGGTGGGAAATGCCCAGCAGGACGTGTAGGCCGCTGTTGCTATAGCAGCCATCTGCTGATAACAAAGAGAATTCTTCACCAGCCCACTCAGAGTCAACCTATGCCAGGGGTTCCCAAACTTTTTCCATGCTAAAGATGTCCTACCAATCAGTTCCCCTCTCTGAACCCCCACCCACAAAAAAAAACACACTTTTCATACTTGCATGCCAAGTGGAAATTAAAACTGTGTTATACGCTTCATCGAGGAATTATCTTATAATGGATACAACAGTTCACCTTTGAACCGCTTATTCAGGGTGGTTTCCAAATAAATAAATAAATTAATAAAACCATAACAAATCTGTAATAAGCCTGTACCAACATAAAGGTATCAGCACAAACCCTTTGGTTATAGCATAAAACTAAAACTATAAACTAATAATATAATTCCGATATTTAGTGTACATTTAGTGTCCGATGTTTGGTTTGTCAAATTACTCCCTATAAAGGACTCTGTTGTCCAGGGGTAATATGGTTATTGCTAATATTGATACTTTAATGAATATTTTAATGTTTAGGCTTAATGTATACCTGTGAACACTTTCTAGTGGATGTAGCAAGTTCACTTAATTATATAGATAATTATAAGTCTTGTTAACAGTGTGGAACCCTCAGAGCCTTCTAGGCCTTCAGAGGATGAAGAAAACTAACTACATATTCTTATTAAACAGAATCATTGTGCTTGTTATATTGAGACGCTGCACGTTTTGTAGTGTGTTTTATTTCATTATTAAGCTTTAGTTGGCATTACAATGGTTAAAATCCTGAAACACCCAACTGAAAATTGTCCAATCATTTTTTCCCCTTTGGTATATGTATAGAGCTCTCCCATTGGTTAGGCCTTCAGGAGGTGGATGGAATGCCTTGTTCACCTGATTAATGACATAATTAGAAAGTAAGAGTTAACCAGTCAATTAGGGAGTGATTTAACCAACCAATTAGAAAGTGGAATTAACCAATCACATTTTGATTTACAATAGGAAGGACCAATTCCTTGAGACAAATAGTAACTCTAGGCCAGGAGTCACCAGTCTTATTTATGGAAGTTTGGTGTGGCTGCAGGTTTTCATTCTAATTAAGTAGAAACACACCTCATATAACGTCAGTCATTTGAAGTCAGATGCGCTTTGTTTTGGTTAGAATGAAAGCCACGCTGGCCCTTTGTGGATAAGATTGTTGACCCCCGCTCTAGCCCTTCTGGAAGCAGTAGATTCACAGTAAAATATGTTAATGTTTGTTACAAGCTTCAAATAAAATATCTTTTATAAACTTTAAATGTCCGTGTTTAATGTACACTGACCAAAATAAGTTCACGTACACCAGCGCTCGCTTAGCACTAACATACTACAGAGACAGTAACTGGTTGAAATATGAAAGCTCAGAACACTCAACATTGCACCTGTTTGCAGAGAAAGTCCCGTCCTTCAAGAAAAAGAGCCAGTCAGCTTATGAACACTCTAGTGGATGTAGCATCTCTGCAAGTTATGTAAAATACGTTTTATTTCATTAAGTTTTGTTTGGAATTAAAAGGGTAAACATTTTGAAACACTGAACTAAAAATATCCAATCAGTTTTCTCCCGCTTGGTATCAACGTGGAGCTCTCCCATCGGTTAGGCTTTCAGGAGCTGAATGGAAGGCCTTGGACACCTGATTAACCAGGTTAACCTGGTCTTGTATGGCTGGAAATAACTGCCTGCCCGCATTGCAAAGATGGCTGCCGAGTGAGCAGACTTCACTATAAGGACTTTACATACTATTAAAAATTAGCTTACGTGCTAGCAGAAATTAGCATATATTTTTCTTGTTTCTCGTTTTCTTGAGTCTTGGCATTTATGGCCCAAACTGAAGGCCTAGCTGTAATAGTGAGGGTCCACTACTAGTGCTAAATAATGTACAATATCTATATAAAGTAGCAATTTAACATTAAAGTGAATTAAAATTAAAATAATGAATTTATTAAGAAAATATTCAGTCATCAATATCAGTACCAGCCACAGTAAGGTGTTAATTATCACAGTTATTGTATCAGCCTAGAAATTCCATATTGGTGCATCTTTAACGACTAGTGAATATATTCATATACAGTTTATAATTTAATGCAGTTGTAACCTAGAAATGAAAACTCATGTGTGAAATATTAATAGAGGCAGCTTATATAAAAATACATCTCACGATGACTTTTGACTGGAGTGGGCCTGATTCACATCCCACAAGCGTAACTGATTCCCACAGGGAGTGGATACGAGGCTTCAGCTTGAGATAATTTCAAACTACATTTCAAACTCATGTTTGTAAAACTTACATGTTTAATGCCAAAAAACTTTATGCCAAGCTAGAACTGTTATAGCGCCTCGGAGTAGGCTAAATGAGAGATGCTGGTACAGAAGATCTCGAATGCCACTGAAGTTTACATTACTGAGGAAACTGTCATCCGTCAAATTCACGACATTGTAATTCTAAGCATAATGTGAGATATATGCTATGCTGGAGAACAGACAGGTTTAGTCAATGATGTGCTTTACAGAATGAAGTGTATGGAATTAGTCAGGCCATGACTCTCAGTCTTCACATGATCAAAAGGAGGAACGAGTCCTTGGGGGAGTTTCCCCACAAGCAGTCAGAACAGAGTTCAAGAGGAGAAATAAGGCACATGCTTGAGTAGAAAATAGCGATTCCAGAAAAAAGGTGGTATAATGTACGGGAAAGAGAGGAAGTGAAATAAAATGTAAGAGTGATTTAGTATTTATTGTAAGGGAGGTTTGCAGTGACGGTCAGAGTGGCCTTTTGTCCATTGCCCAAACAATGACGGCATTTAAGATGACATAGTCAAGTAACAGAAACAAAAACTGTAAATGACTTACTAGGGATGCGCTGATCATACGTTTTTATGTGTTTATTTTTTGATTCCGATTGTGATTTTTTTTACAGTAAAATTGGCCAAAAGACGTTTTTTTTCTGATTTTTATCAGCCTTTTTTTAACCTCGCGCACACACTAGCACATTGGCAGTACTTTCTAACAGTTGTAACATAATTAACATTATTTGCTTTAATGGGATATGTTAAACTTAGAAGTGAGAAAAAGCAGTTTCCTGTTAACATAAATCAAATAAAGAGCTACATTGACAGTAAGAGGCTATGACATTTTGGTACAGGTGTTGTAGCAGCATTCAGATACAGTGCAAGTGCACTTATCTGGCTGAAATTATTTATGTACGTCATACACTTGCACAACAGATTGGCCAAAACTAAAAAAAAATCAATTGCCAATTGCTGATTGAATTTTTGGAGCAATAATCTGCCATTTATTCATTTGTTCACTCACCCATTTCAAAGTCCTCTTTTCTATACATTTTCATCAGCTCTTCTATTCAGTTTGAATTTCTTGTGGATTTTAATGTGATATGAAAATGCAATTACGCAATTACCTTTTAAATACATAGTTACACAATGAATTGCATTCATTTAATATTTGTTAGTGACAGATTGAAGTTTACACTTTGGTTTGTTTTAGAAATCAAGAAATGACAAAGACATGGTAAAAATCTAAAGGATGCTTTTTCATACCACAAATCAAGACTGTAGCAGTAACTTTTCATCACGTTCAAATCTTAAAAAAAGACAAATGAAATATATCTACATATATCCACATACAGATGTTATTGATTGAAATTTCTCTTGTTGTTATGAGCTACTAGTAAGAAATAATATCAAATTGCAAATTGCAAAATGTGTTTTGTATATTTGAGTATTGTATTGTGTATTTTTGTAGAATATTATTCTGTTACTGTGGCTAAAATACAGTGTTTCACAAATGTATCATTGCAAAGATGTAATTAGATTGCTCTTAAGCGGCATTAATGGGTTTTTGAAAATCAGAACATCATAGAGTTTGGTTCTGATGTCAAAGAAATGTGAAAGAAATGTCAATTTTGGGAACTGTGCTTATGTTACACTCTGAAAAAAAGTAGTGCACTGAATTTACTTGATTCAAATGTGTACAGCATTTCCAGTATATTCCTTACAGTTGTTAGATACTCAGGTGTGTGCATGTGTTTTAGATGCAGGAAGACCCTGTGTACGATTATCCGGACCCCCAGCTGGTGGGCGAGAGGCGGGCATGTCCTCAGAGAGGCTCTCTGAAGAGCATCAGCGTGCTGGACCGCCTGCTGCTCACATACCCTGTGTGGCTCCAGCTGTCCATCAACTCAGCCACAGCCCTTCACATCCTGCAGCGCGAGCCCCCTGGGGTGAGGAGCATCTACTCACAAACTCAGACTGTCTGCTCTCACTTATATTTAAAACAGAGGGGTCAACAGCGACCTCCAGGAAGGCTAAGGCAATTCTGTCTGGCATTTTGGGCACTAACAAGCTGCATATGCTACAAACATAATACAGACAATTTGGAGACATTTGGGTGAAAAACAAAAATACAAAAAAAATAAAATGTGTCAGTAACACAGACTGATTGTTTGTTCTTTATTTTGTAGACCTTCCTGGTGCGAAAGTCCAACACATCGCAGAAGAAAATGCTGTGTGTCAGGCTGGCAGATGACAGCATGCCATCTTTTGTCAAGCAGTTTGTCATCCGAGAGAAGGACTCAAGTGAGAATTCTTTTCTTTATGAAAAGCGACTGAATCAGTTGTGGAAATAAGTGGAAGTTTGGTTTTGAACAGTTACATTTCATTGATGTGGGCATTCACTAATGTTCTCCCTCTAACCCCCAGCCTTCTCCTTGGAGAGCTCAGCTATCAGTTTTCCAGATCTCTGCAGACTCATTGCCTTCTATTGTGTCAGCCGGTACGTCTCAGCTCGCTGCTGACAGATTCATTTCTGTTTTTTTTCCTTGTTTAAGTGAAATGTATGGTAAAATATCTTTTACTTCAGGGATGTTCTTCCCTTCACACTGGAGTTGCCAGAAGCCATAGCCAAGGCTTCATCCCACAAACAGCTTGAATCCATCTCTCATATGGGTGTGGGTGAGTACAAGTTGGACTGACTGTAAACTGAAGTCATACAGGGAGTAATCAGTTCCCAAATATAGATTACTAATACCGTTACATTCGAGATTATGGTTGGAACCAGCGTTGAGATAAGGGTTGTTGAGAAAAACTTAAGGTGACGACCAATAAACAATTAGTTAAATGCTGGTTAGATGTTAGTTAAACATTATACAAGCAGACCAACTATCAAAATCATTCCTTGCCATTTCTTCATAGAGTTCTGGAGTTCGCAGTTGAACTTCCGAGGTCCTCGTAATGGTCCTCCACCAGTACCTGATGCACCCGTAAACCCAGATCCTACTCCAAATCCCATCCCGAAAGACTGTGGCACGTCTACAAGCACAAGCTTGACCTTGTTCCAGGAGTTCTGCCCGATTCAAACACGAAGTCCCTCTGAGCTTGATCTGGGGGCAGGCCAGGGGGCTTTGTGCTTTATAAATCCACTTTTTCTGCAAGAGCACCCTGTCCGCGGTGCCATGCATAAACGGCATCACTTCAAGCGCAGCTTTAAGGTTCGTGTCTCCACTGAAAACTCCAGCTCACTCTCACCACCCGTCTCCCCACCACCACCTCCACCAGTGCTTGCAAAAGCCAAGAGTAAAGGAATGTCTGTGCCGCAGACTGAAGCGGTCCACACCAGTGAGGAAGCTAAAGAGAAAACAGAAGCTGCCGAGGCAGATTCAGACTATCTGCAGCCTTGTCCTGCCCTGCTGAAGAAGGGCTCTGCTATGGTCATCCCCACTCTCTCTCCTACTGCAGAGGAGGATGACTACCAGTTGCCCAAAGCTCTGTTGCAGGTATGACTTTGTCTGCACCATATCTATCACACATCAGCTGATACAGAGGAGTTACACAGCATTTTTGGCTACATTCTTAAATCTCAGGTACTGAAGGAACCTGAATGGTTCTTGGAGTACACATGCAGTTCTAGGAAAATCCTTTAATAAATGGAGGTTCTTCAAACTTTAAAAACATTCTTCACACTCACACCTCATTTACAAAAACATTGACTGAAAGGTTCCTCTGGGAACCAGAGCTGGTTCTTCTGTGGCAGAGATCTTCAGACCTTGAATCTAGTTTATGATCTTAGCTTTTGTAATCATTGACAGCTGTTACATTAGGTGGCAAATCAGTTATATCAACAGTTCATTTAACCACCAGTAATGACAAAATATAGGACCAGAAACTGGATTGAGGGTCTGGAATTGAAGACCTCTGTTCCATGGCATTTCTAGGAAGAACTCGAGAGATTCCCACAGATTTGATTTTGCCTGAACTAAATTGAATGCACAGAAAGTGTTAGCTGTGTGGTTATGAGTCTTACGAGTTGAATTCAGAGCATTAAGCTGGCAAACTAAACCAAACACACTGGCGTAAATATACTTAAAAAGAACACTTTGTGTCTATCTTAGTGTTGCTTGAGGCTCAGTGCAATGACCATGACCAAGTAACCATGTGACAGCATGTGGACCAATCGCAGTCAAGTCTTAGAAAAATGACACACTGATTAGGAGTTCTGTTTATCTGCCACCACACTACAAATTCAAACCACTGCATTATTTTGGCCTAAAAGTTGATGTTTTGCTTTGACATGTCTTTTTCATTTGATGTATACTGCTGGCTATAGAAGAGGGAAAACGCTCTCTGCAGAGCTGTGGCTGGGAAGGAACCCAGGTTGACGCTTCTGGTTTAATTCTTTCATTTCAAACTTGTTTATGTATGTACAGGCTGGTAAAAAAATGGAGAGAGAAGAGGAAGAAGAGGATGTGGCGGTAGGACTGGTCCTGGAACAAAGGTCTGCCCCGTCCCTCAGTGAGCTGGACAGCAGCAGCTCTCTCAGCAGCCTAGATGAGACAGAAGAGTCTCCTGAGCGTCCTCCCCTCACGCGGGGCACCAGTAACCCAATCATGCCCTCACCTCATCCTCCCCGCCAGTCGGTTTCTGCACTGCGCAAGATGAGCGCAGCCTTCGTGTCCTTCTTTGTGCCGGGGAAGCGAGTGGCAAGGCTGGTTGAAGACCTTTCCCGTGACAGGTGTACGGCATTTGGAACCCTTATTCAGGACTTCTTGAGGGAGCAGAGGGAGGCGCTGAAGCTGCAGTCTCTGACGTCTGCTGTGGAGCTGCTGCAGGTTGTGCGTCTCTTTATCAACCAGGCTAAGGTCTTTCTTCTGGAGTGTGGAGAACTTGAGCCCCCAATTGAGACCCTAGTACCTGAAGATGAGAAAGGTATACAACAAAGACTCTGCATAGATTGGACATCTTGAACTGTATTCAGTAAATTAAACAGCACTAAATCATCACTGCTAAGCTCCTCAACAAAAAAAAAAAATACATAAATATGTCTCTATGTATGTGTGAATTTGCAGATCAGACACTGGAAAAAGCCATGTTCCGCTGTGTACTAAAGCCTCTGAAAGCACAGACTTATGCAGCACTCCACACCTTGCATGAGCGCGACGGCAGCTCTAAGAGGATGGCTGAGAGTATGCGGAGAGCCAGAGAGAACTCACCCCGTGACCTCTTCGGTGTGCAAGTGGCTGTTCCGGATGCCCATGGCATAGAGAAGATAAAGCAGAAGCTGTCTCTCATGAAACGTGCATATTCACCAATTGACAAAGTACATTTGCTCCTGCAGATCTGTAAGCTCATCTATAAAGCCATGAAGAATAATACCGGTGAGGACTCCTTGAAACTGAATGCATATCACTGAACTTCAAATGTTTGCACTTAATGGATAAAGCAGATACATGAACCATTATATTGTAAAAAAAACTTGTTTAAATGTGATAAGCATGGCAAGAATTATCTAAATGCAGTTCAGTAATATTCTTGTCTGTGAAACAGCACAGGAATTTGGAGCAGATAACTTCTTGCCAGCTCTTTCCTACGTGATAGTGCAGTGCAACATGCCTGAGCTTTTTCTGGAGGTGGAGTACATGATGGAGCTGTTAGAAACGCCTTGGCTTACAGGAGAGGGTATGGATATCAGACTTTTCACACCATGAAGCTAAAAAAGCTACATATGACGTGCGCTCACAGTATACTGCTTTCATTCCTAAGAAAAAAACGTTCTACAAAATGTAAATGTTCTTATTATGAATCTTCTGGCCACCACTAACCTTATACTTTTCTGTCAGGTGGATACTATCTGACCAGTGTTTATGCCAGCCTCAGTCATATCCAAAGTGAGCCAGAGGCCGTGCCCCAGACTGGACTCACCCAACAGGTCAGGGAATCACTGAAGGAATGGACCCACCGCCGTAGCAGTGAGGCCAAGAACCAGAAAGACAGAAACTTGCAACAGGTCAGTCACAATTTTTAGGTCTTCTTTAATGAAATAAACCAAATAAATCAAAGAAAGTAATTTTAATATGGCAATAAGACTTTTTTGTCTGTTCCAATTATTCAAAAATTTAAATATCATGATAGTTATTGTGTATTGAGAAAACTGAATGAAAAAGGATGATAAAGTCATAGACCACTCTTCATTTATTTAATTTCCAGTACAAGTTATTCATTTTCAGGACATATAACTGAGCAGATTAGATAGAATGTAATCCACTTTCATAAGGAAGGGGTGAATTCAAAAGAAAATAAGTATACTTCCCAAAAAATGATTAGATATAGAGAAAATGAGACTAACAACTGTGCAATACCTGGTAGACATCAGAATTGTAAGGTAGGAGAAAATCAAGCGCCACACTTGTTTCAGATCTGTCCATCCATCCACTGTGAGAACTTGATGCTTTGGCACTAAAAGGTTGTGTCCCTGTTGAGAAGACCGGATTCTGACACTAAAAATGAATAATGTTTTCTTAATAGTAATTTTGACTGAACATTATATCAGTAATGGTGGTCTTTGACTTTTGCACGGTGCTATTATTTAGCCGTATAGTCCACCCTTGCTATACAGTTCATTATTTCACCAACAGTGAGTTATTTTGAACGCAGCTCATGGCTTAGATAATAAAATACACTGTAATAAAGTGCTGCTATTGTTCTGTTCTACAGAGGTTTGTAAAAGTTCTCTTCCAGGATGGAGAGTGTTGCTTGGTAAAGACACTGCAGTGGAAGGCAGGGGTCAGTGGAGAGGCTTTGGCACAACTTTGCGCTGTCAAGTTTGGAGTGGACCAGCCAGAGGAGTACGGCCTATACTGGAGAAGTGAAGGAGAACTGATGCCACTGCCTTCTGATGCTCAGTTTCAGGACTTACAGGGATTGGGTGACAGCAGTGCTCCCTTTATTTATCAACACTCCAGTCAGGATATGAAATCCCGCAAGCTGACAAGAGGGGGTGCTTTGGACCTCTCTGCAGAAGCCTCATAATGTGGCTTTGTTCAAGTGAACACCTGACAGTCCACACAGTGGGATCACATTTAGATTCATTTTAAATGTCTGGTCTGTTGCACTCACTCAGTTTAATATATGGTTGGATCAGTGAACACTGAAAGTGGAAAGTGTTGTTTAGTGATAATTTCACAGCCCAGCTTTTACTATATTATTCTTACTTTTAGTGCTGATAAGAGTAGATTTGCACATTACTACAAAATACCTTATCTCCATGCTTCTAAGTTATGACAGACTGCAGATGCTGCCGGGAACTTGACTTTGCTGTAATAAAACTGAGGTATAAGTGTAACTGAATAATGATAGCAATGCTTTTTTTAGTTACTCTGTAAATGGTATAGTGCAGCATTCCCAATCCTGGGGCTATATTCCAAGATCTGAAATCTTATCTGTATAGTCACTATTAACAACTTTAGTTAGGAGTGAATTTAGGATTGGAGCCATTACAGAATAATAGGTCCTTATCTTCCTAACTCCAGTTAGGAAATAGTATTACAGAAGCATCCCAAATTGCCATGTTCCTAAATGGTGTCCTAACTTCAGGGCAAACCCTGAGTGTCCTAACTTCTGTTTTTGGCTATGAAGCATAATTGAAATTGATACTGGGAATTGGCAATGCCCCATTTAACAGACACCACAATATTTGTAACTTTTTGACAAGTTCATTGCACTTTGAGTTTGTTTTTCCATCAGTAACTGTCTAGCTTACTATAACTTTCTTTACATTTTGGTGTTTTCATCTCAGCTCTGCGCATCCAGTCGGTTGCTTTCGCAGAAAAGAAAAATCAAAGAGATCCTAATATGTACCTTCTACTAGACACCGATCAGATCAGAGCGAAAGACAATGGAGAATTGTGTCTCAGTCTTCTGAGCCTCAGATATTTCTCCTGAGAAATCTTTACCTTGGTAATCTCACATTTGTCCTCTTGAGTTTTAGTAAAGATCTCAATAAAGTCACTCTTTGTGCTCAGGTTTGCCAAGATAATAACGTTCATGTTTATCTACAACTGAACTAAAGACAGGAACTCAATTGCAGCATTAGTCTTGAATTGAATTGAACTGAATTTAGCATCCAAGACTAAGAGCCTTCACAGTTTTGATGCTACAAAGTAAAATAATTTCATCTTAACTGAAAAAAGTAAGCAAACTGCTGCCTTCACATTTTGAGGTTACTGAAGGTCAAATAACAAAATGACTTTTGTTCTGTTAATTTACTGTTAGTAATATTAGAAGTTCAATACAGTCACAAACAATCATAAACAAATTTAAAACAACATTTTTTAACAGTGTATGAGTAAGTATTATAATTTTTATCTGGGCCAGAAGTATTGGTCTCTTTTTCAGTCAATTTCTCACAAGGACTTTTAGAAGAGTCACCATTAAGTCTCCCGATAAACAGCTATAACAGACATAGTAAATGATTATCAACCTAAATTGAGTAGTTTAGGATTTTCTAACCTGATATAAAATACTGCAAGATAAAATATAATTCCTAAATAAGCATACTTGCTTCTGTAATACAAATCTGTGAATAGTTTTAGGCTTGTCAGATATTAATTTATGAGTCATTAACAAGCCCTTCAAATGTTTGAGTTGTAGTAAAACACTAAAATGTGCAGTGCAAAGTACTCCGGAACCAGGATTGAGAACACTAATATAATGTACAGTATGATCTGAATTGTGTTGTTGTGGTGTAAATGGATGCTTTAAAATGTCTGTTAAGTTTTGAGACAGATCTGGTTGCTGGAATTATTTCAATTTACCAACTGCTTATTTATTTTTTTGTTTTAAGTGTCTGTATTATAGGGTTACATCAAATTAGGCTTTTGGTCATTTTATGGTAATAAAGTATGAGAACAATGAAGTCCTTGTTGATGTTCAATAAATGTACTCGATTCTTTGGAACTTGTTTTACGATAAGCTTGGTTACACTTACAAAAAACGTAATACTGTGACTGCTGTTGAGGGAGAAAAATCAATATAAAGAGACTTTGGAAAATGACTTTATTTGGTAGGAAATACTCCCTTTGTCTGCAATCACACAAAGCACACTTCGACATTACATGCCTTCAAGGTAATCAAAGTCCATTAAACGATGACAACCTGGGGAATTATCTTGGGGAACGTCCCATTAAACCGTTCATTTCCCCACAGTTTAACTAACAATCAACTGATTATGTGATGCAGCAACACTGAATACTATGAGATGATTATGCAGAATGTGTTTGTTTTAAAATAACTCAAAAAAGTGTAATGTGTTTGGATTATATAAGTGCTGCTCCCACTCCACCCTCACAGAGCACATTTTTTTCCATCGATGCTTTAACACATCTCCATCTGTGTGGGAGGCGTAGGCCGTGGTCCCATCTTAGATACAGAGGAGTGATTGCATACTCCGAATCTAAAAGTGACATGGATTTGTTCTTTTGACTCTAGTGAACAGATTGCTGGAAAAACAAAAGACATTAACAGCAAGTTGTGCGTGGTAGAACAAGTGAAGCATTAAGCATTGTGCATGTGTATTTTCTTGGCATATTTCCTACAGTCTCTTCAAGGGCACCCTATTTCTATCCGATTTGATCATTTCTGCGAGGCAGCGTGTACCTGCTGGCTAAGTGTGGTGTTATGCTCGTCTGAGAGGCTGGCTCTCAGGGCGCAGTCTTCCTCTCAACACCAGCAGGTGGCATCCCTGGAGGCCAGTTCCAGCAATTGAGCCTCCACTTCTTCAGCATCTTCAGGGAAGCGCTGGATGAATGACTGGACCAGGCCTGCAGCACTAGACTCATACTCCTCCAGTTCCACAGCCTCACCTGAAGCACAACACATGGTGCACACTTACATTACAGTGATAATTCAGCAAAAACCTTATTTACACTATTTCACTCCTAGCCCAAATGTAGTTGACCAACCTAAACAAATTTAGTGCTTGAAATTTGCACTTAAGCTATGAGGTTAATGTAGCTAACAAGCAATGGAAGTGCATACCCTAATAATTAGCACTGTGGAAACTGCATGCCTCACATAGTTAAGTGATCTTGAACAGAATTGCTTGCGGTTGCTTACACTATCAGGCTTAAAATAATCTACAAAAATAATGACAAGATTCAGACTTAAGTATGCTGCATAGCTTTGTTTTCACTCTTTAAAGGCAAAATATCTAGTTCACAGTTTCCACTCCCCCAAGATCAGTCAGCCAAAAATGTTTGGAGTTTAAGTCCAAAACTTAAGTTTAAAACTGTAACTGCAAAGCTAATGCTAACAAACACCGGAACTCAATAGTCATCCAAACAGCACACCCCCCCCAGGTCTGTTTTCATAAATCAGCTCTGGAGAAGGAGTGCTTTTTGTGACAACAACTGTGATTCCAGGTCAGTCTTCTGATTTATGACTGTTGTCTAAAATGGCCACCCACAGCAGTAAAGTTTTGTTAATTTTTTTAGTTCACAGTAAGTTGCACTGTGTCTTAAACTACATCAACAAGTCTGTGTGACCTTAATTAAGAACTAGATGTGGTTTGAGCAGTTTGAAAAAACATTTCGGCTATTTAGGTGACTATTGGCTTCTTGTGTTAGTAAAAGCTGCCTCGCAACTCCAGTTCTCAACTAAAGAATAAAGAAGACTCCAAACATGTCTTGGCTGATCGGCAACGTCTGGAGTTACACAACTTTCTGCTAATATAGATTTTTGGTTGGTTCCTTTAAACAACCAGTCCGACACAAATCTGAGCTTTACAACAAAAGCAATGTTTCAGGATATAGGAAATGTGTAATAGCATGCAATCACAATACGAATGTCATCATAAAGGGGGCACTCCTCCTCTGACTGAATGTAATTTAGAGTACACAGAGTAAATTCAGAGATAACGGTATGTAACAGACTGGGGAAAGGAGTTGAGAAAGCTCACCTTTGACTCGCGTGTTGGCCTGGACGAACATCTTTCGGGCCTCTTTGCGAAGCAAGACAGTCTCACGGAGTTGTAGGAAGTTGTGAGAACCATCAGATGTCACTGCAGAGTAACCCTCATACAGAGCTCGGCCTCCCTCCACATCAGCTGTAGACTTGTGCACCTGGACACAAACAGTCAGAGTTCACAGTGCAGACAAGAGTCAAGGTATTTGTTCGAAACTCTCAACCTGCAGCTCTAGACAGCATCAGAGAATACCAGTTAATTCAATTTTATTTACAGAGTGCTCTTTACAAACAGCTTTACAGAAAATTGTAGATGCAGGTCTATTGTCAAGCTGTCCCTTTATAATGGTCAAAATTCTGTTACCTGTAATTTAGGTGAAATGAGTACTCGGCTCTCAGATATGGTCTACAACCCCATACTGGGGGAAAATGTTCATTTTAACAGGAATATTCTCTGAGGTCAGAAAGTTTACAACGTAAAACTACTTTAAGACTCAGTGATGTTCCATTAATCATGCATAACCTCTGCATTTTTTCCCTTTTTTCTGGCCATGAAAAGTCACAATCCACATAATAAGGAATCTGTTGAATGGCTGCACCTGCAGTTTGCAGAGGAACTTCTGAATGGCACTCTTGCCCACTGTGTGGATTTTGCTACGATCAAGTGTGATGAGAGCATCGGGCCGGCCATCCGCGCCTGTGGTCTTGCTCAGGGTCACCAGCCCCTCTCCTGCTTCCAGCAGCACACGCAGAATCACAAAGCGAGCCTGCATATGAGCCTACAACATATACCACACAGTGAGAACCAGTGGATAAGGAGTTCTCCACATAATGAAGACGACACAATTATCAAAGCCAGGAAGAATGAACAGATAAGAAAAATCAGAGCATACATCAGATGATGGAAAAAAACAAAATGAAGAAACAAATATGATTTAACGAGGTATGCAGTTCAGTAGCAGACCTGTCTCCAGCTCTTGCTCTCTGGTGTGTAAAACTCCAAACCCAGCAGGCCAGCACGGACCATATTTAACCAGTTGACATAGATTACTTCCTCTGCTTCTTCACCCTCATGTCCAAAGATACTGCAGCCAAGCACACAAACATCTCACATGGATTACAATTCAGACTGTGCACACATTTTATAGTGTAAGACTAATGCTGCATTTACACTGGTCCCACAGGGCAATGCTCCACAACAGTTCCTGTTTATTTTCTACGAGAAGCATTGTGCCCGTCAGATGTGGCTGTGCAGCACATGATAGCACCAGTGTGTCAAATTTAAGTGATTCAGTTTGCAGAAAAAATTGAACTCCGCTGCATTTTATACAAATAAATCCAGCCAACACCATGCATTTCTCTATCAGCAGACAGGCTGGGTAATTAGTGTCTACATCTTAATACAGGGCTGAACATTTTTATTTTGAAATTGCAATGTGAAAAAGTACAATTTTCAAATCCCAAGAGCTGCAATTTTAATGATATTATACACTATTCAGTACTGTCTTAGCCTGGCACACTATATCCATAATTCAAAGCTCAAGCCTGGAAAAAAAAATATGTGCTGATCTTCTTGATGACAATAAAGACCTGGAGCTTAATTTACAGAAAATAATCACAACATAGGTAACCTAGGTCAATGTTGGAAGCTTTCACTACGCTTATGAGCGTGCTACATGGAAGAAGAGCAGTAAATGGAAACACATTCCGACAGTTCTAGAACCTCCAAAATTCAAAACATGAGTGGGAAGACATTTGGTTGGATGTTAATATACTGAAATTACAGAACTGATAATCAACAACCTCTGCTCCCCAAAACCATATCTGTCCAATTTTAAATAAACCAAACTTTGGAAAGTGTTTGCTTAATGATGATCCTCACATTGAATGGCATTACTTGCATAAATATTGACTTAGCAAGACTTAATTTTAATTGTGTGGAGGTGCGTGTAGCCATCTGAAGTGGGGATTGTGCAGGGACAACCTAAGTGGAGCATAACAACATGAATTTGTGTAGGTCAGCAGTTGGCTTACCTGAGCACCTGCTTGTTGAGACAGAGGTAGAGCCCCACACACTCTGCCCTACACTCCTCATATGAGGAAGCAATGGTGGAGAACTTGCTGTCCCACGTTTCACTGCCTTTGTACCAGCTGGAAATCTAACAGATAAGTACACTAAGCACAGTCTCCGATACAAATGTATGTCTGTACTATACTCAAAGCTGCTGCACTGTTGGTAAAATGAGTTACAGACTTACCAATTCTCCTGTCTCTGGATTACGGACCTCAGCCTGATCAAAGTTGAATTTTCCCTTATCATCCTGTATAATACATAAACATACATTATGGATATGACTAAGAGTTATATACCCCGGTCTCTGTAGTAATAAATTAAATATTTTTACACTAAGACAGACAGAGCCCTCTTACCTTGACAAAGAGTTTTCCACTGCCATGACCCAGAAGCTCATGAAGCCCCACCTGCACCTCAAAAGATGGGCCCTTCCACTTGATGTAGAGATCCTGCAGACAAGGAAGAACAAATTAGATAAATTATGGTAACTGTTAACCCTCTCCACACCGCACTAATAGATTAAGATTGGTATGATGTACAGCACAGAGTAGGGCTGCATGCTTTGAGAAATGACCACATTGTTAAAGTCTGAATGTATGCAATTATGTTACATGAAATTACACTACAGAAGACTGATGTAACTGTTGGTAAAAACACAGCATTATGTAACTAAAACCCAACTCTATCCTTAACTAATAGCCTGTAAAAATGCTTTAAACGTGACTATTATTCTTAATCCCAGAGTTGGAAAATGTTTGAAGCAGTAATTACTACTGTCACAACAAACCTGCATCACTATAAGGAACTAAAGATTTAAATATATATTTTATTGTTTCTTTTGTAGGCCTATATGGAAAAAGCTTTTCAGGGACCGCTGACTAAAGCCACACCCAGTCAGGGCCGCCCTATTTAATCATAATTTATTGCTTTTCATACAGTCATTGCAATCTCCAACAACTTTTTGTCCAAGTGTAAATAATACTGAGACACTTTTAAAATGCTGTGTCTAAGGTTTAACATTCATTCTAGTCATCAAAGCACTGTTACTTACCTTATCTTTTTCATCAAGGAAAGTAAGCTTTTCTTTCTGTGTGGCGTATGCAACAGCCAACACATTCCCAAGAGACACATTCTTAAAGCCTTCGGTTTGTCGGATGTCATCATCTAGAGAAAGAGAGTGTCAGTAAGGCAAATATATACAAAGAGTTAAGAGACCTTGGAACTAGGGCTGGGTGATAAAACGATAACGATAATTATCGCGATATCGATAATTATATAACTTTTCCTCGATAGAGCGATACGACATGTTTGATAAATGTTCGATATAATACACCGTTGTCACACCTCCACGTTCAGCAAAAGCCTTGGTGGCGTTTTCTACTGCAAGGAAGGCGACACTACTCTGCTGTCACCAGGAGAGGGCGCACTTCCGAGTTTTTCGTCATGATTAGAGAGGGGGGGGCGACGAGTAAGAGGAGTCTTTAGCAACGGCTGAAACGCGGAGTTATACATTCCCTGTTTGAGTGGAGCGACCGGCGATCTGTTCTCCTGTGACCGAGTGTGAGTGACGAGATCAGTGGTGTAACTGTACTGTCCTACAGCGAACTCACCTCTTTCTGTACATCCTAACCAGCTTTAGCAGCATTAAATCACAATCACACTTCTCACAACTAAAGCGCTGTTACAGCGCTCGGGCAGTCATATTTAAGTATTAGTGCATTCTCAAGCAACGAAAGTGAAAGAAAGAAGTGGGTTCATGTAAATTACAGCCCTGATTTAAACGAAAGTAAACTGAGGAAGCTGTGAGGCATTGGAGAGCGGGAGAGCGCTATCTTTCCAGGCTAGCTGTTTTTAGCAGTTGGCTAACTAGAAGCAGCGCTCCGTCACTCGCATGACTCGGAAAATTGATGATACTGTAGATCAAACACGACACAAAAGCACCGCTTTCAGTTTAAACGTACCTAAAAGGAGGACTCCGTTTGTCTGGTGTTGATATTTTGCGGTTCACCCCTTAAACTACTACAATAGAATAGAGAAATCCAGTCGTTGCTAGCTGGTGTTTGAATACCGTGATGTCATTTGCAGCAGGGTAGCCGAGCGCTCGTCACCAGCTAAAATAATCTGTTTTCTTTCTTAAATTATGACTATTACAAAATAGCCATGCTTTTCCAGCTGGTAAAAACAGCTCAGCAGACACTTTCTCCCACTCTCCCATGACAGATCTGTGAAATGTTCCACTGTTTGGTGAGTGTTTGTCATGGTCCGACCATAAAGCATAGTTTAAAACAGCAGTTAACCACCCAGGAGCAAAAATCAGCCTTCAAACTTGAAAGAAATAATGATTTGACATTTATCGCGGTATGTATCAATATCAAACGATATGAATTTTGTTTATCGTGGCCATATCGCCCAGCTCTACTTGGAACATGAAGCTAAAGCAAGAGCGAATTGCAGTACTCACAGTTTGGAATGTTGATTCCTGCTGGGATGCCACTGCCAGCAAAGGTAAGCACATCCAGTGAAGTGAAGTCAGGTTTGAGGAAGCGATCCTTCTCGAAGGCTGGCGGCCAGGGGAGTTCAGGCAGCAAGACCTCTGCTGAGCTCACCAGCTGTGCAAAGCGGGCACTCATGGCCTTATTCACCACTGCAACAAACCCTGAGGATAGAGAAAGAGAAAAGTGAGAAGACTTGCCAAGCTTCAAGTGTAACATGTAGCAAAATGAGAAGTTATACTTGCCTTCAAATTCCCCTCTTGAACCAAATGGATCTCTGTAGCTCTCAATAAAGCCAATGTAACTATGGAAAAGAAAATAAAAGGAATTCAGGGGTGCATTCTAAGGGTAAAGGGCAGATAAACTTCTCAATGAGTCATCTCTTGAACTCTTCCAAGGATAATTTGTCATCTTTAGTTGAAACTACTACGGGTTATCACAACTAGACATTCTATCACAGTGTAGTAGGCAGCACAAGGGGAATGGCTTAATCCATGCACATATGTTTTAAATGTCTGGTCTTTTCTTCTGAAGTTGCTTAATTTTAAGGCTGCTTTAGACTGTGATTAGTTGCTTGTTGCTTATGTAAAATTTCACTAGAGTGGCATAATATAAAACGGTGTAAAACTCAGCCACAACAGTTGCAAGCGGCTTGATTTTGTGAGACAAATTTCATGCAACAGCCAAGCGAAACAGCAATAACGCATCACATGATCATGTTGAACACCACCACTGCAAAAGATCGCTTTCATATGATTAATGGACATAAAAAATAGAGCATACGCTGATGTACTGAACAGTTTAAAACAAGATTCTCCTGATAAACTTGGTTCAAGATTAGTAGGTTTTTCACTTTGTCAATTTGAGTTTTTCAAAGCAACCATTTCTGTAACAGTAAACTAACAGTAACAGCAATTTAATTGTTCTGTGCTGTGTCTTCTTCTTTAACCTGCTGTAATTGTAATCGTCTTAGCTAAATGATTCTTTTTCTTCTTTCCTGACACCCCCTACTTTTACACAGCAGCCCTCAACAAACCTCCAGTGCTTTTAGGACATGGTGAAAGATATCAAGCTGGCAAGATACTAAGCTGGTTAACAGCCTGTGGGTTACTGTGCCACTGAAAGTCAAAATGTGGAAAAAGTGTAAAAACAGTGATTTGCAATCCAGACATGACCCAGAGAGCTCTGCAGAATCAAGACATTTCTAATACACAAAACACTGAAAATCAAATTCAATCTTCACCTCAGAACAAAAATGAAAAATTGTGTATCATTTCACCCCCTAGTGTTTAGTGGTGCTGGACTCCAGCAACTGACGTAGAATGAGAAAGCTTAGAAGCATACTGTAGCGGAGTTTTAAATACGCGTTATTAAAGACCAGCCTAATGCAGTCTCCACACTGATGTGGTGAAAGCTATTTCTCATTCACCTCTCCACAATAGGTCCTTTGTCTTTGATCCAGAAACGTGAGCCTTCTTTATGAGCATCCACAGATCCGTAGGTGAAACTGCGGATGTACTCCTCCAACATTTTTGCCTGGTTCTCATTGGCAGCATAAGCCTATAAGACAATGATAAGAGTAACTATCAGTCATATCACAAAAGAGACAATTAGTATTTGTTTCAGATCTACAAGAGCCCACTGATTCCAGTGAACAAATTCATGTGCAGAACGCATACATACCTTTGCTTTCTCAAGGTTCTGGCTCACTTTCTCCATAAGAAATGCATAGTCTCCTCTCTGAACAGAGAATGATGCACCCTCGAATTCAAACGTGCTGCAGGGAGTCTCTGCCTCACCTTCAACAGTACAGTCTGAAACAGACAGTAGAAAAGGTAAGAGAGGAAAACTCAGAGGGAAGCAACCAAACAAGTACATTCTGCAGATATACTAAGGGTGAAAACGAATTGATTGGATTTCTGTCTATCCTTAACCTCACCTTTCTTCACTGCAGAGGCGAGGCGCACCTCATAGCAGCGTTTACCATCTGACTCCTTCTTAAACAACCGGGTGTTGTAGGCACTCAGGTTCTGGGAGAGTATTGCAGACATTAAAGTATTACATTACAAACATGAGCAGGACACTTGCTACATGAGGACTCCTAATGTAACCTCATCTCCATTCCTCTTTGAAATGGGATTGTATAACATTCAATAATAAACCAGAGAAAAAAAGAAACATACACATTACATTAACAAGCAATAAGAGAGAACACCACCAGCTGGCAATTGCACATTGGCTAAACTGGCACATTCGCAAAAAATCTATATTACTGTGTATGGTCTCAGTAATTGGACACTGAACACAGCAAAATAAAAGTTAATCATTACAACAAGGTGTATCGCAGATAATAAATACTGTACCTTGGAGTCTAGAAATTTCTGAGCCAACTCTGCATCTTCTAAACAGCAATCTCCTGAGAAGTATGTGGTGATTCCCTTGATTGGGGGGAAAACAAACACAAAACGTTCAACGAGGAGTGGGAAATATGACAATATTTATCATTATCAAAATAAATCGTCACTTACATCACTATATGCTACACACAGATGAAGTTACTGTGTCATTTTCCATGATTCTTCTATAATACATGTATATTGTATTGCATATCGTTTACAGCATATGTATTATATATGCATACAGTGTAGTATGTTTGTGTATTGTGCTATACTACAGAGCTGAATTACATCTGGATGCACTGGATACAATTACCACCGACACGTTGCGTGGCAATAAAAGAATCACACAAACAATCAGTCAATCAATTCTGATCATACTGTGGATACCATCAGTATTAAAACACTGAAAGATTGTATTTCATTAGAATGGAGGATAATTAATGCAGTGTGTTATGTAAAGTGGCAAAATTCATTGGACTCAGTTTTGAATAATATTTTTAAAATGTTTTTTTTTTTTGTTGTCTGTTCTGACATACCAAAACCTCCGAAAATGAGATACTGTGATACGTATCCATGTATTGTAAAGAAATCATGATGACTAAATCATGATGTTATATTTCTGCGATACCATCCACCCCTTCATTCACTGCAGACAATCATGCATCTGCAGCTATGCTGCAAAACGGCTAGGAGGGTAAAACGGCTTAAGATTATTAAGCTTGGTTTAAGCTGTCTTACCTTGTCCCCTAAACCAAGCTGTTTCTGCTTGTCTTCCAGGGAGTAGAGGAAGTGGGAACAGCTGTTCCACAGCGTCTCGATCTCACCAGGGTTTTCCTTATAGGCCTGACTCTCCCACACCAGAGCCTTAAACTTTTCCTGCATGAGTGACGAAGTCCAATTAGTTCTGATGCTCACGAGTACTCAAACAAATAAATATAACATTTGCCATGGTAAACAAAACAGAAGTCTTACATCAAGGGAGATGGGCATGAAACAGTGGGCTTGACAAGAACAGTACTAAATGTTGTTTCACGTCTTAATTTCTAGAAAGTCCTTATTATTCTGTAGCTTTTGCTCGTATTCAATAAGAAGCCAACTTCAGCTATGCCAAATTTCTTAAGTCATTTGTCTCACACTTGCGGCCCATGTATGACCATCAACCATCAGACACTGCAGGAAACTGGAAAACATCACAGTCATTCATGCTTCTGTACTGGCTGGTCCATGGCCTCAAATGACTCATAAGAGCTGGCTGAGTCGGGAAGCCTCTCAGGTGGTACAAGAGGAAGCGTAGCAAGCCCCAAAAGACCAGACATTGCTTTATATCTGCTGCCTCGAAAACACAGTGCACTACTTCAGGTGCAGCAGCAGGACAGTGGGAGATGACCAAGGATCTGTTGCATTTTCATTTACTTTGAAATGTGCCTGAAACACCCCTAAGTCAGCCACTCAGGTAAAGTGGACAACATTAGCACATTTTGCACTGTTCGTATGCTGCGTTATCTGAGCTTATTTGTGGCATAGCAGTATAAAGGTTATGACAAAGCTCAAACCTGAAAAAAAAAAAAAACTGTTATACTGCCCACTATGAAGTTAACAGAGCATCTATCAGTAGGCAAGTGATTTCTGTTTGCACTGGATGGTTTACCTTTGGCAGATTAGGGATGAACTTTGTGTCACCAAATGACTTGTAGTTTCCCATGTTTGCATAAAGCCCTGCAGCATATACAAGAAATGCCTAAAAAATAGAAAAAAACAAAACTTTTCATTACAGCTTACACAGTATGGGTATTAAATGTGAGCTTTGAGTAAAGTGTGTCTTTAGTGGCGCGATGCAGTCCTTCAGCTGATCTGCAACACGCCAATAAATCCACCAGAAGAAGAAGAGCGTTTTTAACCTGATATTCCTCAGAGCTCAGTCCAGCTGCAGTTGCCACAGCCTCCAGCTGTGCAGGTGGCTGCTTCCGAAAAATTTTCTGCAAGAGCACATAGATGGTGGGAGACTCTGGGGAGGTCTGCACCAGCACCACGAGGCCACCATACCAAGCTGCCCTTGACAGGTAATGTGCATACAACTGCTCCTTTGGCGACAGCAGTCGAAAGGCTTCCCCACAATCCAGAGCTGAGATCCCAATGTCATTGGGGAGGTAGTACTGAGAATCCACCATGGTGATTAAGCAGTGTTCCTCTAGTCACAATGGGGCTCTGTAGGACAAATGAAGAGTGTAGTTAAAATATAAGGGGTAGATCTTTTTTCATACAGTTTTCTTTCATAGGGGAGTTGCAGCACAGGTGCAAGGCTATGATGGATCTCAAATCACCAAAATCATGCGTAAAATCTGACAAAAATGATTTCTAACTCTGCATTGTTTGTGCTTCTCCGGAAAAAAATCTCAGCTAGGCAAATTCGTTTAGCAAATTAATGCAGTAGTACTGGTAGTGCCATTACAGCTGGAAAAAATAACGCTGAATAATGAAGCTAAGTGACTTCATTGACTTCATACAACTAGGTAAAGCTCCGCAATTAGCATTTCTATCTTCCTGTACTGGGGAACCAGCAAAACTCCAGGGCCATATGGTCATTTAGTTGCAGAGACGGACATCTACGTTACTTTCACTTCTGATACAAAGAGTAAGCAGTTTAAGCTAACAAAGCTAACCAAGCTAAGGTTGGTAGGTTAACTTGGTAGCCAACCTATTTCATTACATAGCGCATACAAACGCGCCATGCAGTACCATTACCTCCTGATCATACCTCAACCATTCAAACGAACCTTACTGAATTAACTACAACAGTATTTTTATCTTAGCTTTCTACCTGAACTCTGAGTCCAACGCTGTCAAAATGCAAGCTCACTGTCTGCAACAACTTCCGCTATCCATTCAACGCAAGACCCGCCCCATAGCCAATCATGTGTGAGAAATGAAGACTGACTGCTCTCATAGCCAATCAGAGTGCGCAGTCAAACAGCGGGATTATTCTGTCGAACAATAAAGAGCTTCCAAATTTTAGCTATACAGATGTATGTATAATAATATTAATAATAATAATAATAATAATTACAACAACTGTGCTACTGGAGAGTTTTTGGCACCGTAGTATTTGATAAAGTCATTTTTATTAAGTTCTTTTTAAAAAGAAAGTGAACTGAATTGATGGAAGAGCTCTGTGGAATTGAAAAGGTGATTAGAATTGGAACGTGAAACATTGTTTTGTGCTACTGAGGGAAAATATGTACAATCATCTAGGCCATCTTAATGAGTACATATTTTTATCATATTAACAAAAATGATTGTTATGTTTTGGGCATGTCCCAAAATATTGCAGCTGTCCTGTCTGATATCGAGGGCATTTGCCTCTGTGCTCCCCCCCCCCCAACCCGGCTCTTAAATTAGGAGAAAGATTCTGCCTTGTCAGTAATGTTGCAGTAATAAAAGAAAACTCCAAATAGTCACAGAAAGGCTCTAGAGAGTCACTTTAAAATTGTATGGAATAACATTTCCTTTTCATATTTTGAATTTGAATGCAGCCTAATGTGTTTTACCATTAATGGATATTTTTTCTTATTTTTTTTCCTTCACATTGCACAGTGTACAACAAGAGTGAAATGTGACAAAAAACTGTACTGAAGCGAAAAGATGGGTACAGTCCAAAAACAAGTAACGGGGAATTCCACAATTTTTTTTTTATTTCAGAATATTTAAATAGTTGAATGTGGGTTTTCTTCCAAAAACATGTAGTCAAGTGAATTGGAGATGCTAGATTGCCCCTAGGTGTGAGTGTGTGTGAATGTATATGTGTGTATGTCTGCCCTGTGATGGACTGACTGGCAGCCTGTACAGGGTGTTTCCTGCCTTCCGCACAATGAGCGCTGGGATAGGCTCTAGCACCCCCCTCCCAGAAGGATTAGCAGCTTAGAAAATGTGTGTGTGAGAGATGTAAACAAAGAAATTCATAGCTTTATATTAAATACTCCATTTTATAGAAACCTACAGAGTGAAAACTGTTCACAGAGGTGATGATGGGAACCAGACCTCTAAAGAGTTTAATGCTTTTAAAAGCTCCATGACAGAGAGTTTTACATGAAATAGTTCATTTCTAAGCCGCTTATCCTTTTGGGTTGCGGGGGGAGCTGGAGCCTATACCAGCGGTTGAAACAGTTCTTATATAATTATATGAAATTATGAATGCTTTGTCTGATGCCGGAGATAAGATTTTGGCCTAGAAACATTATTTTAAAATGCATGTAGGGAGGAGATGTACCTAAATGTATGTATGTAAAAAACTGGCCACAGGAGTTCAGTAGACACATTGCCTTGTGATCTGTATTTCCATATTTAATTCCATTATTATACTGATTTTATTAAAAGTGACAAAATATTCAGAACACTTTGTGTTGCAATTGTGATATAACTGATGTATGTAGCAAAAGATTGTTTTAACAAAAGATGTATGTAAGAAAGGTTAATGGTATTTAAAATGTATGATTATGGATCTGACCCCTGCTTTTGAACCCCAGAAGACTTTGCTGATGAAGGTTGCAGCATATAGGTGGGTCTGGGCAAAACACTTTGTAAAAGTAGTGACTGAATACACTGTCCGAAATGTATTTAGTACAATACCTAATAAGTAACATGTAATCACTATACACATAGAATACATGGAATAAATCCAGATTTTTTTTACTTTCACACTGTCTTTCAATGTTACTGGTTGGCAGTTTTCTTCCTGTAATTCTTCTGTTAATATGTGAAAAATTCACTTACCACTTAAATGAGGATCTGAAATTCTCAACATTTTTTTCCTCTCTTACCACCTGCTTCTGTCTAATTCTGCCCTCTGCTCCATAATCCCCTAGGAGCACGATCATCCCTCAAAAGAACTCAGTAATGCTGAGATTCGTAAAAGGCTCATCACATTGATTTATCAATCTACTCAGGCTTTAGCAGGAACTCCAGTGTTGTAAAGAAGCCATTAACCAAGGACCTCTTTAGAGTTTGTATAATAAGCATATTTACTACACACCTTGTGCTGATTAGAAAATAGTTATTTAATAAACAAGCATTGATGATGTTACTTTTAAAGGCTGCGTGTTTTTTTTCTTATTTAGTGTCTAAGTATTCTAAAAGTATTCTCCTAAAAATGTTAAAAGTAACTGTTTTCTGAATAATACCTTAAAAAATGTGACATGGGCTGATACGTAATTTTTGTATTCGAAATTTGTATTGCCAATACTTGTATTCTGATACATCCCAATTTTTCCATGTAGCATGCCCCATGTGGCCACTACCAAGCCCTCCTCACCAGCTGACCTCCCCAGGAACTTTAATGGAGAGCCAGAGAGCTGTAGGAAGGCGTTCCACTCTGAGGAGGCTAAAGGGGCACTTGCAGCTTTTTTGCTAAGAGCAACTCACTTGTTGACCTGGTTCTGGGACCTCTTCCAGTTCACTTTTGACCCTCCACTTGAAGAGGAAGAGAATTTTTTGGGGGGGCTATGCAATTCAGGTACCACAGTGCCGCCCAGTGCTCCAGAGAGCACAAGTGAGTCTGAGCTGGGTCCCACAACGCCACCCAGTGCTCTGGAGAGCACACAGGGCTTCAGTGCCGGCTCTCCAACCAGCTCCAGTTTTGGCCCTCTGGACAGCTCCTGTGCGCAGTCCTCATCCTGTTCTGGTGCCGGCTTTCCAAGCTGCTCCTCCAGGTGGTGGTTCCCTGTGCAGCTCCTGTGCTGGCTCCTTGTCCTGTTTTGGTGTTGGCTTCCCAAGCTGCTCCTCCACTGCCCCTGGCTCTCCATCCTGTTCCATTACAATGGAATTGGCACTCTGGCATCGGTTAATTCCAGCTCCTGCTCCTCTATGGCTCCACCACACACACCTACAGATAGTTTATGGACCATGTATACCATCAGTTCGGCTTCTCTGGTTTGCATAATTGATGTTGCCTTATCTGGATTCTGAGCCATTTTTTCTGTGTGTTCCTGTGTTTTTGGCCCTTGCTTTTTTTGTTCTGTATTTCTGATTAAGAATTTTCCTCTAATGATACCTGCCTGTTTTCTGACCCCTGCCTGTGATGACTGAGATTTGGATTGCCTGTAATAAAGCCACTCAGTGCAAGTAGCTGGCGTTCGCAACCCATTCATTACAAAAAACAATGTTACTTAATGTTTTGCTGTTGATTAATGTTTTGCTGTTGATAATGGCAAAATAAATGGTAAAAAAGTTTTTCTTGGGTATTATTTTGCTAGACAATGCCTTGCACATACAATCATATACAGAAGTTTGTCTGTTCCAGTCAAATTACATGTTTTGTTGAGTTTCTAAGTGAAAATTGCACAATATCTACAGAGAACACACTTCTGCACATTTTAATGCACAATAATTGATTAGTTCTTGAATTGAATCCTTGTAAAGGGTGTTAACTTATTTTTTGATTAAATTACTTATTGTGTACACCAGTGGTGTTTAAACATTTGCATACAGCTGTACCTCTCCACCACTGACGTATTTAAAAAAACACATTGTAGCTGAAACGCCTACGTCAGAACTATCATAAAACAACGTCTTAGGGATCAGGCTGCATATTCATAACCATTTTGCGTAATAGCTTCTGGGAGGTAACCTTTAGGGGCATTAAACTACAAAAAAACAGGGGCATTTATTTTCTCATGGGTTGGGATTAACATGATTTACTCTTAAATCATCTTCGCTGTGTACCTGATTTTATACCAGTTATTTTATTTGATCATTTTCAACAAGCACAACTTCTTTTGTTCTGTGTTTCAAAGAATATCAAAACAACAGGCAGCATGCAGTTACAATGTTTCTGTAAAAGTCCTCACAGGCATAGGACACCAAGAGAACTTTGTCTTTGTGGGGACGTTCTGCTAGTCCACATTTAGTGTTAAAAAAAGAGAAAAGCTGCATTTTAAAACATAAAGTTAGGCGTGCCAAATGTGTGTGTTTGTTTGTGTGTGTGTGTATGTGGGTGGGTGGGTGTACTTTATGCTGCAAAACCTCCCTAAAAGCTAAAATACATTTTCTCAGAGGACAGCCCTCTGCGCATGATGGCCAACTGTCATACAGAGCTTTTGAAAAACGCCGCAGGAGAAATTAGGAGAAATGGGTGTGAACAGACAAGCCCACTAGTCTGAAACGTGTGATTGGCCAAAGATCTGAAAGACTGTATATTTCCACACTTTAAACGTGCAGTGTGCCAGCTACCAACATGACTGACAGTTGTGAGTCTACTTGGAAATCACAATGATAACAGAGCAACTACAAACGGTTCTGAAGGATTCTTTTGAGCACAAGCTGCAGGTGAAACAGAAATGCAAACAAAAAGTCAGCGAGCAGAAGAAGGCAAGGTAAGATATCAAAAAAAAAAAAAACTGACAACAGTAGACACATTACCTTGTGATTTGTATTTCTTTTAGTTCCAGTTATATATAAAGTTTATATGTAGACCTGGGGGACTCTTAACTTCTAAACATTTTGTGTTGAAACTGTAAAGTAACTGATGTTTCTAGCAAAAAGTTGTTTTAACAGAAGATGGATGTATGAAAGATAAATGGTAATGAGGACAAATTCTTATCTTTTTTGTTGAAATTTGAATCATTTATCTTAGCACTGGATATTTTAACTCAGTTATAATTCTGAAAGCATTTCTCCACAGGAATAGTATCACTTTTTATACACTCCTATTATACATTCATGTAATTGCAGAACTGCTGTTATACACAGAGGTGTTATAATACATAGGCCTGTCACAATCATTACATAATGACCTCATCGCAATTATTTGAGATGATTGTAATTATTTAGGACTACAATAATTTTCCACAGTCATTAGATTTCTGCAACAAGCAGACAGTGAAATGGATGAGTTGGCTTGAAGCAAACAAATATAAGAAAGCAGTAAATATTTTGACCAACTTTCCATTCCATCCTAACATGTTCAGAGTGTGTTGAGTAATGTTGGTGTATTTGTTATGCAGCTAATTCTAACATTTTTAGTGAATGAGTGTTTTTTGCTTATATTTGTAGCTTTGCTTGACTCTACACATGATCATAACTAAGTTTTATTTAAATCTGTGTGAGTATTTGTGTGTCGGATATCATTTTAACATTATAACCACTGTTAGCTACTAATCCATCATAGCTAGGATGCAAGATTGCTAGTAAGCCAATTTGACCCCTTTTGGCTACTACTTTAATAGATGCATATAATGAACAAGAAAAGACAATTAAATAGTTAATTGCAATTATTTACATAATAATTCATCATCAGCTACAATTTCCTGATTGTTACAGCCCTAATTTTATATATATATATATACTATATATATATATATATATATATATATATATATATATATATATATATAGTATGTTGAATATAACACTACAGAACTATTTGCAGAATGACAAAGTAGACAAAAAGCTGCTTAGTTACGCTGCACTTTCAGTATCAGACTCTGCAGACTGCTCAGCATTGGAGTGATAAGATGAAGTGACGCAACCATGACGTCTCAAACTCCACCAGCAAGCAGTGCTCTATCTATCACAGGGAAAATGACGCTAGTAGTAGGTTTTTGTCTTCTCACACCATGCTAACAGATTCACAAACAACATTCTCAAGAAGTCTAAAAACCTTCCACAAAAACAGAATAAATATTTTTAAATATGTAAAATGCGCAGATGATTGAAGCATTTTTGTTTTGTAATAAATTATATGAGATTTAATTATGAGATTAGTTTTAGTTTTACGTTTTTTTTTCAGGAATCATCTTTTGTGTTTGCTGTTGGGATGAATAGAAAAGAAAAAGACTGAAAGAGTTGGAGGGATTTCTTGAGTTTTGTATGTTGTACTGCACTGTGATGGTGGAGAATCACAGCCTGTGATTCAGCAAGCTTTATTCTGCATTTTCTTTATGAGAAGCTCTTATGGTGAAGGGGTTGAATGCTTGGTTAGCACTCAGCTCAGACTCATTCAGGTCATACGTATACAACATGCGCTATACAGTACACTCTTAAAAAAGAGGGTTCTTTAAGGGTTCTTTAATAAAGAAAATGGTTCTATATAGTACCATGAACACTCAGAGAACCCTTTTTGTGATTAAATGGTTCTTTGCATCATGAACAAGTTCTTCAGATTGATTGAGAATGTGCTGTTGATGGTTCTATGTAGCACCTTTTTGAAGGCACCAAAAAACGTTCTTATACTGTTATGATGTCAAGCTTGTAACAACGGAAGAACCCTTTTTGGTGCTATATAGAACCCTCTATAGCACATTCTCCATCAATCTGAACCAAGAACCTTTTCATGATGCAAAGAACCATTTAATCATGCAAAGAGTTATGTGAGTGTTCTTGGTACTATATAGAACCATTTTCTTCACTAAAGAAACATCAAAGAGCCATTTTGATAAGTAAGTACACTGGCCTTTCAAGTGCCCTTTTTGACTTCAAAAACACCAGCAACACTGCTGCACCTGATGCGCTCGCACCAGCACCACACCCACTAACATGCTACCCCCATGTCAGTGTCACTACAGCACTGAGAATGATCCGCTACTCAAGTGATATCTGCTTAGTGTTGACTCTTTGGTGTCTTTCCATTGATGAATAGGTTGAGTTGCTTCTGCAGCAACAGAAGGGCTTCATTCAGCTACTGTAAACGTACAAAGTGCACCTCCCATAATACACTTTACCAGATAAAAAGGCCAATGACTATAGTGTCTGGAAAGGTGTGCCTGTGCTGTAAAGAAAAAAAGCATTTAAAAAGGAGGTGTTGTATTTGTTTGTATTATTTTAATGTATTCATTGACCTAAAATATGTATTTAAGTTTATCTGAAAATATGTATTTTAAAATAATACTAAACAGTGTTTATTTGATAAAATTATGTTTTAAATATGTATAATTTTCTTTATTTTCATTTTATTTCATTTGCTTTATTATTAATTTATTTTTAAAATAAACAGGAAATGTGTTTATTTTGCAAATTTGTAGAATGCTCTCATTTATTTTTCTTTATTTATTCCAATTTATTTTATTTTGCTAAAATTCTATTCTATTTCTATGAATTAAATTCTACTTTATTTTACTTTGTAAAATTGATTAATTACTTAATTAATTTTCTTATATATTTATTATTTAGCAATTTAATTTAATTTACTGTTGGAGCAGTTTTGCTGTTGTGTACTGAAGGAAAGGACCTTCATCACACTTCAGGTGTGTGTGTTTTGATGCAGGGTGTGCACAGAGTGGAGGAAGGCTCGGTCCCGTGTGGCGGCTCGTAGCAGGAGGGAGAAGGAGAGCCAGCTGTTCAGAGAGATAGCAGCACTGCTACCCCTGGCCCCAAACGTGGAGGCTCAGCTGGATAAAGCCTCAGTCATCAGACTCACAATCGCATACCTGCGCCTCAGAGCGCTCCTCGACTCTCCTGCCTCCAGCACAGCGCCAGCCACAGCCCAGCATCTGTCTTCAAGACAAGGTGAATGTGTAGAAGATGCTGCTTGGGCAACCGCATCACAAAGGAAAGTTGAGTTTATAGTGTGTTAATAATGGTAGCTGTCATTTACAGGCGAGCCTGCAGGAGTGAATGAGAGGTGGTTTCATTATCAAACACTTGGAGGATTCCTGCTTATAGTGTCCCTGAATGGCAAGATCATCTTCACCACAAAGGATGCCACTTCTCACACAGGAATCAACCAGGTCAAATAACCTCGTACATAAAATATCAGAGAGCGATATCATTATAACTGTCAATATTTTCATTTAACACACTCTGAAATGAGAGACCAGACACTGAACAGATCAGGTCACATTAGATCTTGCAAAAATGCTGTTTTCAACATTGTTTTGAAGAATGTTTATTTCTGTATTTCAGATGGATCTGATTGGCCGGAGTTTGTTTGATTTCTTGCATCCCTGCGATCAAAAGGAGTTAAAAGAGATTCTTACAAAGCTGATAGGTAGCGAAGCTATTACAATTCTTTTTGTAATCACATTTCTGTTGATCTTTAAAATGAGCTTCAACAATATCTCAGTGTTCAGAGAGTGTTCAAACTTAAGGAATCCAGTATATACAGTCTAATCCACTTATGTATATTACATGTCTATCCCACACTAAATAGTAAAAATAAATTAATCAAAAAGTACCTGCACATTAGTGGAAATCTGAGGTAAGTATGTTAAGTTGGTATAGAACATCACTATGATTTCTATATGATGGCAGTCACTCATTGTATTTGATTATAAAAGACCAAATTGAGCCTTTATTATTCAGAGACAATTGAGAACATGGCATATGTGTTCAAAGATTATGATAGTTACATTATCAGTCTATGGCAAATTGTATCAAATCTTTAATCTGGACTGGGCCATAATATCTTGCACTATAATATCTGGAAATGAATGAGAGATTCCAGATTGAGCTGTCAATAGAATGTGCAGTTTGCCTGCAGAGTGCAATCATTTTCTTCTGTAATGCAAACTCTAGGCAGGAACGATTGTTATTGGTATTGCTCAGGATAGAGGACAAAAAAAAACATCGTACAGGGACAAAAGCATATTGCATAGCTAAAATCATTAGTATTAGCTAACTTGATGCCAAAATTCTGTCTGTACTTTTGTCCATTTTTAGATGCAAGACACCTTATGGACCTGTCTTGTAACTCACTCAATCATTCACATTCAGCAGGCTGACGATTCTCCACAAGGGGGCACTTTTAGCACCCCAGTTGCTTTTGGCATATCATACCAGTGATGCTTAACATCAACTACATTGTGCATCCTATCCATAAAGATTACATAAGCAGGTCTACTTCACCAACCATCTGTGTGATGTTTTAGGTATGCAGCTGGAGAATAAGCTTCTAATTGTTGTTAGCTACATTCTCCTCATTTCTCCAGTGCAAATGGTTGAAACCTTTAAATATCATGCAACATATTTACTTCAGGGAGCCCAGGACAGCAGAAGTGTGACATTTTCCTCCGCATCAAAGGTGCAACCAACCACAAGCTAACTCCCTGGAAGGTAACTCTTTTCACCTGCCTATTAGACATAGAAGACAAAACAACACAAAATACAAGAAGTTGTATCCTTCTACTTAGTTTCTCTTTACATCTGAGCTGTCTTTCTATCCACACACAGGTGATTCACTGCACTGGAGTAAAGAAGTCGTCCTATATGCCAGGTTGCAGCTGTTTGCTTCTGCTGTGCCGGTCATTGCCTGTGCAGGACATCATTGAGAGGGAGGCTTATCTGAATTTCAAAGCTTTCCTGAGCATCCATGGCCCGGAAATGAAATTCACCTACTGTCACTCTGGGTACAACGCATAGCTACTGTACTCAGGCTGCACTTCTTTGACCTTCTCCACTCACTTCTTGAAGTTCCACTTCTCTTATGGTGCTCTCTCTGGTTCAGGGTTCTGGAATTGACCGGTTTTAGTGACACTGAGCTGTGTGGTCAGTCTGTGTACCAGTACTATCACCCATATGACTGCCAGCATATCCTCCAGGCACACCTCTGCTGTGAGTGAAGTTTCACCTTTCGAAGCAACCATGTTTTTGTGCTTTTCTTATTGAAGAGGTAAAAAAGCAGACAATTTTCTTACTCCAAATGTAGGTCAATCATCAGACAAGTTTGATGTTTAAAGTTTGCTTCTTTTAGTTTTGCAATGGAGCTAAGAGGCTAAATGAATACCCGCCCCAGGATTTTGTTCCAACAAAATCTTGGAGGTGGGTTTTTACTTTGTGGAGCTGGATTAACCACCTCTGCTTTTCTCAAACTGCATTGTCGTTAAATAATCTCAGACTTGCTTACGTGGTTTCTGACAGTGTATGACATACTGTTATATTACAATAGCTAAAAGTACAGACAAAACTCAGACTTCAAGATGGCTGCTACTACAGTTTTTAGCTATGCAATGTACTTTTGTTCAATTTTATACACAACAAAAAGTCATATGGCTCCAGAAACCTCATGACTCAGTCTATTTGAGATTACTTAAAAAACTACATGGAGTTTGAGGCAAATGCGTATTCATTTAAATATGGAATTGTGCTAATAGGAGGTCATAAGCTTTTATTATTTGTTTGCCACATTAGCATAATAGCTCCAGTGCAAAACTAAACTTTAGATACCAAACATATCTTTGCTGATCGATTACATTTAGGTTAAGAAGGAAGTTGTTTACATTTTTGTCCAAACCATTGCTTTGAACAAAGTGATGCACGTTTTTAAATGCTGTTCAACTGTCTGTCTGGGACAGTGTTGGTGAAGGGCCAGGTATGCACTGGGAAATATCGGCTGCTGCAGAAACATGGCGGTTATGTCTGGGTAGAGACAGATGCTACAGTGGTGTACAACATTCGCACGGGGAAGCCAGAAAGCGTTGTGTGTATCAACTACGTCCTGAGGTTAGAATGCATTCTGACAAGGGTGCAGACTTCTAACTATACAGTGAGTCGCCAGTTTATTAGCTACCTTGTACCCACACTCATTTAATCAGGAACACCTACTGTACAAGTTAAGTTTATTTATATAGGGTTTTGTACAACAGGCGTTCCCACATGGAAATAAAAACATGTTCCAAATGTATTTACCAAATACATTTTTGCAACGTATGAAAATGGCCAAAAAATGTATTTGTTATGTTAAAGCGGTTAATGACTGTAGGTACAAGGTAGGTGTACCCAATAAACTATCAACTCACTGTATTTTAACCACTACAGAAAGGATGATTAGGATTCTGTCCTTTGGTAGGCTATTACAGGCTACAGCTCTAATACCATCCATTCTGTTTCACCTCAGTGGAGTGGAGATGGCAGACGTGGTGTTTTCTCTGGAACAGACACAGTGCCTGCCGAAACCACAGGACACCCTCCAGCCTAAAGTCTGTACATCAATCACAACATCTTCAACAACTGACAAGCACACAAGCTCTGTGCTTCCTCATTACAAGAGAGGTAAACACTCGGACATGATCAGATCCCATCAAGATTAAGAAGGATTAATCACTGATAAGTGCTGACATGATACATGTTTTCTCCAGATGGAGCAGCCAGTGGCCATTCAGAGATAACGCAAAAGTCACCAGCATGTAACTCTCTCACATGTGTGAGTATATATGTAATCATAGTATTATGAGAGTTTCAGGAAACATATAGAAAACTGACATTGGTAGCTACACCATCTAACTCATCAGATTTAATCCCTTAAACTAGAGGCTCCCAACCCTGGTTCTGGAGGACCCTCAGCCCTGCACATTTTGAAGTTTTCCTTCCAAAACACACCTACTTCAACCCAGGAAGAGCTTGTTCATTAGCAAATTAGTTTGATTAGGTGTGTTGGGAGCAGAGCAAACACTAAAATGTGCAGGGCAGGGGCTCCTCCAGGACCAGGGTTAGAAACAACTGCCTTAAACCAATGGTTCTCAAACTGGTCCTCACTGGGAGTATGAATCAAACAAATATACGGACCTTATGAGGGGCCTACAGAGCCATTTTGAGAACAACTGCTAACCAGTTGTCTCCGACCCTGGAAATCTACTCTCTGCATGGTTATTTAACCTTTTTAGTCTAGACCTAGGCTTAATCTCTGTCTGGGGAACCAAGTTTAAGGGGTTAAACCATCTATTAAATAATATACCTACACTGTAAAAACTGTGACAATTATGTGACACTGTGTTTCCAAAACATATGGTGCCTACCTTTCTGATGCCCACACCTACTGAAGGACTCGTGCATCACCAGTGCCAAGAGGCTGTGTGAAAACTGTTTCCTTTCTTTAGGAGATTTGTGAGCTGGATTTGGATAGCCTGGCTCCATATATCCCCATGGACGAAGAAGACTTCCAGTTAACTCCTACTTTAGATGGAGTAGTAAGCAATTCAGGCTTGAACAGATATCTCACTAGGCCATGCTTAACACTGGACCCAGAGAAGCACCTTCACTTGGAGACAACAAAAGGCATTGCACCTACCTTGCAACACTCTGACAGTTATTTTTCCCTAACAAATAGGTATGTCTTTGGTTAGCAACTGCTTGGATGGACATCCTCTTCTTTTCCTTCATTGCTTCATGCCATTTTCTCTTGCTTTAGGTTTAGCAAGGATCTTCCAGGATTCATATCATCAAGACAAAGACATAACATCCTGCACACAGTGAACAGAAAGCAACAAGTAATATGTGCCTATTTTTGTTTTGGGCTTCTTCTGAGAGAACAATGTGGATCATTGGCTAATCTTGTGTTTCGTGTCACTAGGTGGAGCATAACAGTCCAGTCCCCTCTTCTCAAAACAAGACACATCAGTGGAAGACAGGCATAACAAATGTCTCGCAACATCCCAGCAAAAGCCTTGGAAAATATTATGGTAAGAAGTGATCTCTATAACTCTATAAGACACACAGTACATGTTCTTTCTTTCAAACATTACATTGTGTTTTCTGTCATCAAATTAGATGAACCAACAGCCTGCAGTCGCTACCAGAACCCTCCAGGATCAGTGCCTTGGGCCCCAGTGTACTCCAAACTCCCCTGGTGTCCTCCAGCACCTTTCTTCAAACAAAGCACCCAAAACACAGCAGAAAAAATGGTCCCAGTACAAGTTGGCTTGCCCATATTGAGTGGATTGGAATGTGAGCTGAATGCCCCTCTAGGACCCACTTCTCAGTTGCTTCAGGGGACTGAACTGACCACCGTCTTGGACCAGGTTGCTCCAGGAGTGTCTTGGTACTAATGAGGGCAGCGACTGAAGTGTAAACATGCTTCCAAACAGAACTATAAGCTTCTTAAGTGTAAACATTCCTTTAGCATATCTTTTATACTATCTATTTCATGTATGTGTCTTAATTAACTAATCCCTTGATGTTCACAGAAAAGGTAAAGCAACATTTCAGATGTAAAGTGGACACATACAGTACTTACCCTCACTCAAATCAGGAAAGACAGGTTGTGGCTTCTGGTGCTATGACAATAGTGGCCATAACAACTACAGAAAGATCCACCTCAGAAATAGATAAAGTAGACATCTATGCTCTAGACTCATTTACAGCATGCATTCACTTCATTACATTTTTTTGGCAACAGGCAGCATGGAAGGAAAATTCAATATATCCAGTTCTTTATTTTTTTCAGGGCTGTACAACACTTAAAACACCAAGTTTTATTTATGGGCATGTCTAAAAGAAAAAAGTCCCCTCCTCTAACACTCCATTCAAGGACAGGACATACACAAGGCTCACTGAAAAAGCAACCCATATGGTCCATTTTTAAGCACAAGGTTCTAATTAAGAAAAAAAAGAAAGAATCAATAACAAAAAACCTTTTAAACATGAGATTCAAATATCAGACTGTGTCTTTATATACACCACTGTGTGCCTACTTGATTTTATTAAGTGAAGAGACTTCTTCAAAGTTTACGAGACCATTTTCTTCTGAAAGACAATCTGCTGCAGAAGAATATGTTGAGTTTCAGAACACCGATGCATCTATTTGGTAATGGTGTTCCTGTAAAAAGAAGAAAGTTACCTTTGTTATTTGAAAAAGAATGACAAAAATAAAAAACTTATATAAGCTATTCAATGTCTTTTTTTGCCCCATTGTCACAGTAAATCATTAGTGAATCTCCAACTTGCCGAATGTGCTCAAAAGCCTATATATATACACACACACACACACACACACATATATACACACACACCAACATGTAAAACTGAGATTACTTACGCATTCATGCTCTTTCCACTACCGCTGAGCACAATGTAGGGAGTTTTCTGGGACTTCTGTTTCTCCTGCAACAGAGCCACTGTGCCTAGAGGAGTGTCACTGCTACTCATCTTCTTCAACAGCTGTAGGGTGAGACAAGCTTCAGTCAGCCTACACAACTAAACAGCCAAGTAACTGAGGCTGTACATGGTACGTCTGCATGATATGGAGAAAATACACAATTTGCGAAAAACGTGTTACAACGTGTCTGATTGTTCATGCAGCAAGTATGACAATATGCCCTGTTTGTACAAACCTCAGTTGTACAATATTGGGCCTACCCTTTTTCAGACTACCAATGAGTCCTTTAAAGCAGATACAAAAGGTGTCTATTTCGGCCATATCTGAATGCTGTTGCTGCGTGTAGATGTGATCTAACATCACTGAAGATTCTGCCATTTTAAATCAAGTTTGTGTCCCAAACTACCATTTTCAATAAGAAAACACATTGACAGGAATGTAAGACACAGTCATGCTTTATCGCTACTCTGATTAAATCAATCAAACCATTTTATACAGTGCTAGAAAACCGTAGTTCACAGAAAGCTTTGGTTCTACACACAGGGATGTGCATGTGGCAGATTCAAACAGACGACTTTCTTTTTTTTTTCGTTTTTCTTTTTTTTTGGAGAGGGGGTGGCCTGTCTGGTTTGTGTGGTAGAAAAGCCGTTAAAAAAAATAATGTTACTGATATGTGCTATAATGAGAAGTGCACCAAAAGTGCTGCTAAGACAAAGCATGTTGCATGTCTGCTATGAAACAGATCTAATGAGGTCAAGGCGTAGTAATGTAATGTATCTTGGCCTGACTTAACAACCCTTAGTTATGTGTTCCCCCCCCCCAGAAATAGATGAAAGTAACTAAAACCTAATATTACAAAAAAAGTCCCATTCCAAACTGCTTAGTATGTAACACAGAAAGAACATACCGCCTCTTCCTCCAGCTTTTTCATTCTTTTCTCAGTCTTCATCTTGCCAGAGCCTTTACCATGGAAACGGTGGGAGAGCTGCCTGAAAGCCTAAATGAAGCAAAAAAACAATAAGAAAAATAAATATATAAACCACCATATAACATGTGATGTTTCTGGTAAATGAGAAACAACACAAAGTTGAACCTCTTTAGGTGTGAGCTTGCGTCCAGACTCGTCTACATATTCAATCTTGACGTCTGGCTTGTATCCATCTTTCTCTTTGAAGTCCTGAGTGAAACCCCTGTACTCCTCCCTCCTGCTGTATTTGTCATCAATGGCCCTGAAGGGAAAACAGAATTAATGAGACAGACAACACAATAAGAAAACAAAAACTACATCACAACACAGCAATATAAATTTTTGATCTCATTTATAACTTGCATAAAACTGAATTTCACTCTGAAATATTCAGGAGTTATCCACACCAACTCACATCTTATCCTCAATGCAGTAGTTAACATTTGGCAGAGCTCCTTTTGGAGCACGAACTCGAGCCACCTTCTGCACCTGAGTATCCAGTAATCCTGTGACAGAGAGAGAGGGAGAATCAATCTACTTTTTAAATCAAATCAAATTAAACATTACTAACATATTGATTAGGCACAGTAATCAAGCTGTTCGCTTGCCTTTGTTCTTGCAGAGCAGTAAGGCAGCTGCGAGGCCAGAATTAACAATGGGCTCTTCATCCAGAATGGTGGTTGAAGCTGTGGCGAACTAAAAAAAACAAAAAACAAACAAACAAAAAAAAAACACCAGACACAGTAATTAAAGAGAGCACATAATCCTGAAGTAATTCAGCACAATTTACGCAAGATTCGTTCGAAATTTGAGCCTCCCCGTGGCCAGTAAACGCTAAAGACTCACATCGGGCTGCTTCTGCTCCTCATCCAGGTTAACTGTGCTCCATCTCACGTTATCATCGTTCTCTGAATTGGAGCCTCCAGCTCCCTCACGGTCCTCCTCCTGTTCAAAGTCCTGAACAAACACCACAAAACAAAAGCCAGTCATGAAAGCCAGCAAAGAGTTAATAAAAATAATTCACAAAGATCATTAATTCAATTGCTAAATGTGGAAATCTCTGACTTGTAGGATAGTAATAGTGATAATGATTGTTTGGGAAATGCATCATGAAATGTCAAATTTAAACAATTCTAATTGATTATATTTGCCTATTTTTGTTTGACTTAGAATTAAAAAATAAAACACATTGAATATTCAAATGTAACTAGAGGAATTATTTCCATGGCAGTATTTAAATTTGGCCAAAAATAATTTACTGAATAATATTATAACTGAATCTGTAACATTCCAAAACTGACAGAGTTGAAATCTCCAAAACTGACAGAGTTGAAATCACCAATACATCAATGCAAAGCATCACTTACACCCCAACTGATTACAGCTCACATGAACTGGCTTTGAATGTGTCACCATGCGACCAAGTCACAGTCTCCCAGTGCTCTGTGAAGCTGTAGGGGAATATTTACCATGATGTCCTCCTGGTCCTCTCGGTTGCCTGAAAGGCCATAGGTGGGAATATCTCCCAGTGTGCGGCAGAACTCTGAGGTGGCATTGAAGACAATGTTGTTCTTCTTCTCGGGGTCATCTTCATCATCTCTGGTCTTCACCAATTCTTGCAGATGCTCCGCCACCTGAATTCATGAATAAGATGAGAGGAAATGTGTCATGCACAAGAATGCCACCTTCATTTTTTTAATGGCTCTGCATGTATTCAAAGACACAGGTAAAAATTAATAAAGGTGAAGTAGAGATGTCAGCTGAGCAGCAGATCTTGCATTGCCTTTTCTCCTGAATCCTTCAGCATCTGTTTCTGTTTAAGCTTCCTCTGTTTTTCCAGCTGTTTCTGCAGCTCCAGCTCTGCCTCATCCTCCTCTATGGCTGTAGACTCCGGAGCCACAAGGTCATCTGAAAGAGATAGAATATACAGAACATATATCCACATACTGCATTTAACCAAGAAATCATTTTTACGAATAATAATTTATTATGAAATAAAAATTTCTGCATAATTAAATCATTAAGATTTAAACAAAATAATTCAGTGTTTCAATGTGTAATGCGGCAGTCTGGAGAAACTTTGAGTTAGAACTGTTCACAATAGTAGTAATTGGAATCAAACATACAAAGTATTTAATGCCTTTAAAAACTACCTCGCCTAAAGCTATAATGTAAAATTGTTATGAAAATGTTGCCTGGTGACTGTGATATATTGACTTATGATAGCTTTAAGATAGGATTTTGGCCTAAAAAGTACTTTTTCAAAATGCATCTACATACATATACAAAATATTACCCAACAGAAAACCTTTTTTGGATTAACACACACAATGCATACATATAGGCATACATACATAATATGCTTGATTGTCAAGACCCCTGGTTCCTAACACTACCACTGCAAAGAAATCTAAGCAGGTAAGTTTCTCTGCAATGCACCATTTCACATCAAAACTGTGCAGACATTTGGAAAAGTTGGTAATATTTCCCTTTAAAAATCCTAAAATTGAAGCTTAAAGGCTAATCTATTATGTAATTCTCACCGTCATCACTGATATCCATGTCAGCCATCCGAATGTCATCAGATTGCTGCAGCACATCGGCCACTTTGCTGCTGCTGCTGCTGTCCTCCTTTGCAAGATCTTCCTCTTCTCCGTCTTCATCTATCTGCCTCCTCCCTCGCCCTCGTGTCCTAAAAGAAATAGTGAGGGTGTCGTTATGTACAAATCAAGTGGACCAGAAAGACCCAAAAGACAACAAAAAAGTGGCACAAAATGAAATGCACTGCACACAGACAATGGGAAGGATGCGTAACCTGGAGCCAAAGTCTGTGCTGCGAGAGTCATCAATGAGAACGTCATCAGCGCTGAGAACTTTCTCCTTCTTCCGGATTTTCTTCACTCGACGTTTGGTCTTCTTGAAGCTCACCTAACATTGAAAACACAATCACAATCAAACCCTATTAAAAATGCAAACTTTGGTAAATTCTTTTGACCAATAAATGAACGTCATTAGTAAGCAATTTGTCATTAACCGGACACCCTTATTTACCGACGCGACCCATCAAAATACCAACTATAAACAGATATTTCTGGTTCTGAAATCTGATTGGTTGAGTCACGCTCAAAGCTATTGTAAAATACTTGATAGGAATGCACACATCAACAGAAATCCGAACTGATGAACAGAGATATTAATTAAATGTTCCTTGTATGGACCGTGGAACTGTACTGATAAGTGGGGCAAGATTTTATGAGGGAAATGGCCTGAAACTGTATTAAATTATTATAGAACCCAGTTTTGTTTAAACTGAGTAGCTGATAACTATGTGTTTGTGATTTTGTAACCAACAACATAAAAGTTTACAAACTAGCACTTTATTAGGAACACCTGTACACCTGCTTATTGAAACAATTTATTCAGGCAATCGTGTGGCAGCAAGAGAGAACATTCTCTAGAGTTTTCAAAACGGTGCAATAAAGAAAAACATCTAGTGAGCAGGAATTCTACAGACAGAAACAGCTGTAACAACAGAAGACCACGTTGGGTTCAACTTCTGTCAGCCAAGTACAGAAAGCTGAGACTGAAGCTTGGAACAGGCTCACTAAAACCAGACAGCTGAAGACTAGAAAAATGTATCCTGGTCTTACGAATTTCTGCTGAGGGCTTAGGTCACATTTTGGCACAGACAACATGAATCCATGGACACAACCTTCCGTTTGTCAACAGTCCAGGCTGGTGGAGGTGGTGCAATGGTGTGGGGAATGTTTTCGGCACACTTTGGGCCCTTTAATACCAATCAATCATCGCTTGAATGCCACAGC